TACTATCATTGATTGGTGAAATCTAAATATAGAACTCACAGCCAATGTGGGATTTGTGCCCTGGTTCTTATCAGTCTGCCCTGAGCCTGGTACTCACGCTCTTGAGCCACTGCAGGACAGCGACCTTAACAGAGGGCTAGATGTTGGGGAGGACATGGAAAACTACAATAGTCCATAGGGGCACCAAGAAGGAAATCAGTAGGGGAATCTGATCATATCTCAGATGTCTATACTCAAATGCAAGGAGTATGGGGAATAAACAGGAAGAACTTGCAGTATTAGTATATAAGCTGAATTATGACTTAACTAGCATCACAGTGACCTGGTGGAATAAATCTCATGACTGGAGTATTGATATAAAAGGGTATAGCTTGTTCAGGAAGGACAGGCAGAGAAAAAATGGAGGAGGGGTTGCATTATACATCAAGAATGTATACATTTGTTCTGAGAACCAGAAAGAGGTGAGAGGCCGACCAGTTGAAAGCCTCTGAGTAAAGATAAAGCAGGGAGGAGGGGGAAAAGAGGGGTGACATCATGGTAGGGTCTACTACAGACCTCCAAGTCAGGAAGAGGAGGTGAATGAGCTATTTCTAGAACAAACAACAGAAATATCCAGAAACACAAGGACTGATAGTAATGGGGCCTTTAACTACTTAGGCATCTGTTGGAAAAGTAATATGACAAAACTGTCCAATAATAAGGGGGCTGGACTTGATGTCTTCTCAAGGTCCCTTCCAGCCCTACATTTCTATGGCTTTGTCTACACTGGCAACTGAACGACAAAACTTTTGTCATTCAGAGGTGTTAAAAAACCACCCCCTTGAAAGACAAAAGTTTTGTCAAGGACAAGCGCCGGTGTGAACAGCGTTTTGTCGGCAAGAGCGCCCTTCTGCCGACAAAGCTACTGCCAGTCATTGGGGGTGGAAGTTTTTTGTCAGTGGGAGAGCTCTCTCCTGCCGATAAACAGCAGCTACATTGCGCGCCTTTTAGCAGCACGGCTGTAGCAGCACAGCCATGTCACTAATAAGTGTGTAGTGTAGACAAAGCCTATCTGGTCTATACTACCACTTAAGTCGATGTAACTTACATTGCTCAGTGGTGTAAAAAAGCCCCTTCCCCCTGAGTGATGCAAGTTACAATGACTCCCACTGACATAGCTTCTGTGTCTCACAGAGGTGGAGTAATTATGCCAATGGGAGTGCGCTTTCCCCACCCTCAGTTCCTTCTTGCCGGAAACTCGACAGTGGAGAAGGAGGTCAGGTTGTGGAATGGACAGGAGCAACGCATCTTGAAGAACACCAGTTACGGAAAAGGTAACTGTCTTTTCTTCTTTGAGTGCTTGTTCATGACTATTTCATATTAGGTGACTCCAAATCAGTACCCCTGGAGGTGGGTAGGAGTTCACGGATGTGTAGATTGCAACACAGCTCTGCCAAACCCAGCGTCATCTCTGGCCTGCTGAGTGATGGCATAATGAGTGGTAAACGTGTGAACAGAGGACCATGTTACGGATCTACAGATGTCCTGGATAGGAATGTGCACAAGGAAGACTGCCGAAGACACCTGTGCTCTCGAGTGGGCTCTGACAATTGGTGGCGGTGGAACCCCCACCAAATTGTAACAGGTCCTTGAGGTAATCCAATTGGAAATCCTCTGCGAGGACACCGGGTGACCCTTCATCCTATCCACTGTAGCGATGAAGAGTTAAGTCGATTTTCAGAAAGGCTTGGTACATTCTAAGTAGAAAGCCAAGGCCCTCCGGACGTCCAGGGTGTGAAGATGCCTCTCCTCACTGGTCTTGTGCAGTTTGGGACAGAACACCGGGAGGAAGATGTCCTGGTTCATATGGAAGGTGAAGACCACCTTTGGCAGGAAGGCAGGCTGCGGCCGCAACTCAATCTTATCTTTGTTGAAGACCATGAATGGACATTCTGAGGTCCAGGCTTTAATTTCAGAGACCCATCTTGCTGACATCACTGCCACCAGGAACGCGACCTTCCATGACAGGTGGAGAACTACTACTAAGGGTAACTAAGAAAACTACTAACTATGTATAACTATTTTACAGGATTTCAAAGTTAGGGAACAGGGAAGGAATCAATGCTAGCTGAAGCAGCAGACGTTCCAGCACCGTCACTGGCAGCAAGAAGGAACTGACGGTGGGGGGAACCGGCAGTGCCCTTTATATCGCGCCATGCGGGCGCCACTCCAAAAGACGCCAGAGCCGGTCCTCTGTGGATACTGCTGAGGGAAAAACTTCTGGCACCAGTCCATGTGGTGAGCACACACACCTAATGTGGAATGTACATGAGCAAGCATTTGAAGAAGAATAAATAATAATAAAGCTGCTCTCAGTTATTACTACAGAATGGAGAAGAATGGGCTGCAGCCAAGAATATTATTAACATAAGTAATCTTCCCTAAAATCCTTCTTGCAAGCCACTTTTTAATTGATTTTAAAACTTTAATTTCCTCATATTTGCATATGTTTTTATGGAGAAACTAATTAATTTCTCTCAATAAAGACACACAACAGTGATCAGGGATTTGCAAGGTAACGGCACCATCCGATGCACAGTAGTGGTTTCAGCAGCTGCAGATCGCAAGCTATGGAATAGTAGAGGCAAATTTGTTTCTTTGGGTCTCACCCCAGGATGACAAAAGTGAAAGTGTTCTTTGAGGTTTCAAGCCAGTGGTTCTCAAACTATGACAGGCAAGAGTGGTGGACAGAGCTCATCAGATAAAAATGCTATAGGACAGTTGATGAGCCAATTCCCTTCTTCCCTCTTTCTCTTCTACCTTATCAGTTCTCCTTCTCCTTTTCATGAGGCTTCCTAGCCAGTGCTAAATAAAAAGTCTTACTTTTTAATACTCTGGACACAGGTTTGTCCTTCCACAGCTTCTACGTCAAGGGATGGCAGTATTCCCGTTTCTTCCATTTGTGGAAGTGGTGGAATTTTTTGCTGTATGCTGTCTGCTTCACAGACCCCGGTGTGCTGAAAGGTGGGGGTAGTACCATGATTGAGGTGGCACCATGTGTGACTGCCTGGGTCCAATGTTACAAAAATTCATCTCTGGTAGCGAAAAGATTAAGACAAATTTTTTCCACAAACTGATACATTATTTAGTGCATACAGGTCCTATGAAAGAATGATTCATCATGAGGATTGAGTGAAGATCCTTGATTTAATTGGGTTCTCTTAGTGAGCTAAGTGGGTATATTTATGAGTACAGTGACTATAATTACAGAGATGAGATTAGAGAACTAAACAAATGTATTCAAACAAACTGAATGTATTCTGCTTTGGAGATGCATTTTAAAGTAGAAAATTATTTCCTTGTGGGTTGAAAAAGTCACTGCCATTGGGGTAGGGTGTTTGGAGTTGCAGGTCAGCAAAGTCTCAATCCTGCAGTTTACAAAGTTACCAAACCCCTAACCCACACAGAGACCCGCTGAAGCCATTATGGTTTACATTTAAACACAGGAACAAATCCTAAAATCCTCAATTTCGTGTGAGATCCTGTAACTTGTAGTGCTTGGGGAAATCTCTGTTCCCCCATACAGTCACATTAACAGCAGCTGGGTCAATTGCAGGACTAGACATTAATTTTTACAGTCTTCCTTTGGTAAAATTCCATTGATCGCTATGTAAATTTTGTCAGAAAAAGAGACGAGTATAAGCTACATAAGGACTACATGATTTGGTTCAAGAAAAACAGAAATACACAGTATTACATGTAAAGGGGGAAAATTCTGCTCTCACTTACATCCATGCAATCCACTGAAGTCAACAGTTCACCACATGGCTGAACCAACAGTGAGATAAAAATTTTGAACCTGATCCCCAGCTATGGAAAAGTCAAAGATAATGTGTAAGGCCTTGTCTTCACTAGAAAAAAAGAGTGTGTTCCTAACTCCGAACAAATCCGCACAAATCTGGAGGAGGAGGAGGACTTGCCTTATAATCTTTAGCCCAGTGGTTACTGGCAGTAGAACCCTGTTCAAATCCTTTCTCGTCAGGTAGATGGGGGACAAATTGGTGATCTCCCATATCTTAGGTGAGCATCCTACTGAGCTAATGGTCATAATGGAGGTATTTCTCCTCCTCCTCCAGCTGTTTTGTGTGGAGTGAGATGCCCGCTGAGCATATCTACTAGATCAGGCTCTGCGTGCAATTTATGAGAAGGAGCGCCTATCTTCCCCTAGTTTGTAGATCACTAACAGAGGTAGGCATCTCCCTGCAGCCTGGTCTTAGGCGCTTATCTCTGTGAGGGGGCAGAGCTTAGGATACACCCCTCTGATTGGCATCTCTCCCTGACCACCTTATGCAGCTCCCTGCCTAGCATACTGGCTTTTGTGGAATGAATTGTAAGGCACATATCTCCCCCCACTTAATGTACTGGGAGCCTAGGTGCTTACTCAGGCTTTGTGGATCACAATGCTGTTCCTGTGATTTTCTAGATGCCTAAAAGTTAGGTGTGGCAATGCTTAGTGTCACTATGCCTAAATCCCTTTGTGGTTGTTTGAATTAATATACCGTACTTTGTGTTATTGTTTGTTCTTGTATATTGTTAGAGAGAAAAACACTCAGGTTAATAATATTTTTTCTTTTGAGTATTTTTCGGGGTCTCCACTTAAGCAGTTTATTTCTTCTGTTTGAAAAGCATGGTTTGCATACCTGCACAATAAACAATTACAATGATGAGTAAGACTTTTATTTGTCTATATTTTAAATGTTTTTTTAATAAAATTATTTGGCACCCAAGGCATTTAAAATTACTCCTCCAGCACACTGCACTGTGTAAGGGGGGAAGGGAATATTTCTTTTACCATACAGATCAATTTTTGAAAGAATTTTTTCAAGTCTAAGGTATGTAATGAGGGTTATTCCTGAACCAAATCAGTAAGGAGTGAGTGAACTGTGGAAGCCTGAGCGCTTCAGAGACCATTTTCTGCTACTTCCAGACAAAGCGGAAATTAGGTTTTAGTCTGTACATACCAGAAGGCTGTTTTTGTTGTACTGGTAATTCTGGTTCATTGGGAATACATGCTTCTTCAAGAAGAATTTTTGACAGCTCTGTTCCAAGGTATGTGACCTGCATATAAACAAATCTATATAAGTTACTGGTTATTTTATTTACGTTGTGTTTTCTGTGATAATAAGAGTAAAAAATATCAGGTTTCTTTCAAAATTAGGTGTATGCAATTGTAGGTCTAATTTGGTAAATGTTGTTACTTACTGCAAGTACATATTTTGAATACACAATTTGTATAGATAATGCATGCAAAAATTAGATGTGTTACATGAAATGCAATTTTTGCATCTGCCCTTGAAGATGTCTAATTTTGAACATTAGATCCATTGAGATCCTAGTAGCCTGGGACACGAGTTAAAATCTCACATAAAATCATTTTGTGACTGGGAAAAGGTTGTATCTAGTTGGCTTCTGAGGAGTTACTAGTTTCCTAAGGATCCAAGTACTTTTCTTTTGCTCTTCCTTAGCACTACTCCCTGGGCTCTAAAACGGTCACAGGAAAGATGCATTGGTGTGGGAAAGTTAAAGAGTCAATGCTGAGGGAACAAGCATTGATACAAAATGCACTAAATCTACCACAGAAGCAAGTACAAATGGTAATACAAATGGTAAACAAGGCAACTGCTGAGAGAGAGAGAGAGAGAGAGAGAGAGAGAGATCAACAGTGTGTGTGTTTCTGGAGCTCAAGACAGAAGGGCTGCAACAAGCAGGCCCTCACAGAGTGAAGGAGCCAAGAACCTGCCCAAAGCCTGGGAGAGACAGAGTCACAGGCGCCAGCTTCGAATTGTCCTGGGGGGTGCTCAGCCCTAGGCCCCGCTCCTACTCCAACCCTCCTCCAAGCCTCTACCCCTACCCTGCATCTTCCCACCCTCTCTCTGCCCTCTCCCCGCCTCTTTCCGTCCACTCCCCTGAGCATGCTCCGTCCCCACTCCTCCCCCTCCCTCCCAGCACCTCCTGCATGCCTCAGAACAGCTGATTGCGGCAGGTGGGAGGTGCTGGGAGGGAGGGGGAGGAGTTGATCAGCAGAGCCACCACGGGCAGGAGGCACTGGGCACAGGGGAGTTTGGAGCACCCATGAAGTTGGCACCTATGGACAGAGAGGCCGACTGGGGACACCCCAGGACAGGGTCCAGGAGGAGCACTGTGCCAGTGAGGAATTGCCCAAGAAGGATAAACCGGAGCTGGACCCAGTATCACTGCTGCCCAGAGCTGTATGGGGTCGTGAGTACTGGGGCTTGTGACTTTGCATTGGGAATAACGAGGGAAGCTGTTAGCTAGTTAAGTGGAAAGGTTGTCACTCTGTGTGGCTTTGCAGAGAGCGACGGAAGAGGGCAACGGAGGGGTTTGTTGGGGAAAGTTTACTGGCACCAAAGACAACTGTCCAGGAGCACTCAAGACTCACCACTGGATTGGAACTTTCCCCAGGACTCCTGAACTCTGTGTGCAGACACATTGCTCGGTGTCTGCCCTTTCAGACTGTGGTATAGCTGGGCTTGTCAGGCCTTGTGTTGAATGCAACCCTGTTTTACCGCACCCCTTATATTTCCCCCTGTTGTTTTTCTCCTCTCATCCCTCTGCAAGTAAATATTTCTCCTTCCTATATTCATTGTTCTCTTCTGGTGTGTGTGTGTGTTCATTCATGGGGGTTTGGAACAGATGCTCCTGGGGTGGAAGGGTCTTTCCCTGCGGCATTCCTGTGCACGCCTTCTCTTGGTCAGAGTTGCCAGCAGAGCAACTCCATCTGGGCCATGAGAGCGCTAAAATTACATTTGTTAACACCCATTTAACTAACCTTTATCCTTACCCTTTTTAATAAAGGAGTTAGAACTCACTATAGACATGTTCTGAGTCACCCTCCAGAAAAAACAGGGAATAACAGACTGCACATATATAAGGTAAAAACATCTTCTTTGAGCCTCCTTTATCTTAAAGAAATAAAGGCACAAGCTCAATTTAAAAAAAATCTTAGCACCTTTAAGGAGATCAAATAGGCCTGAAATGTGAATGCACTTACAGCAGCCAAAGGCTAAACACTACAAAAATTCTTTAAAGTCACCAGAGACCACAGGTTAGATGATGCTCAAAGCCTCATTTATGCAACTGGATACAACGTCCATGTAGAAGCAGGCCACAGGGCCAATAGCTTGGGTGTGCTGCTCAAGCAAGCAGCATTGGCCTCTTATTCACAGCGTTGCAGCTGTGCAGTGAATCTCCTATCCAAGAGTGTTGAGAAAAATTCCAATGTCTACTTTGTAGAGAGTGGCATCTTGATGAAACAAAATTCAGTTTTTAAAAGGCTGCAGGGGATTAAAAGATGGACAAAGTTGTTCAAGTGTCCATATGAGCTCAGATAAATGCTGCGAAAGTGCTGGCAAATCTTGGGGGACTTCTCAGATGTCTGGTGCTTTATGACTTAGAATTTCACACTAGCCACCTGATCACAAAGCTAGTAGCATGTATCTAAAAGTGACATGGGTATCTTTCTACAAAAGAATACAATAGCTTTTAAGAGATTTTTTACAAATAACAGTGAGCCTACCTTATTCCACACATACTTCCAGCTCACAGAAATGTGATTTCCCAATAGTGCCTTAACCCACTGAACTGGATTCCCATAAGTTCTGTTGTCGCTCGTTCTGATTTTACCATCTCCCAAAAGAGTGACTTTATGGCTGAAGTCCTAAAAATGAAAATGAAGAAAAAAATTACAATTCAATTGACAAATCAAAATTAATATCCTTAAAATTTAAGCAAAATTCTAAACGTTCATATGAACTGAAAAGTTGCAGCTAGCTATTCTGCATCTTTTCTTTATTCTAGAGGTTTTTTTTCCAGAAACTCATGCCACGATCATAAACTGAAATAAATAAATATTTCAGTTGTAAACTGAGATAAATTTCATTGTATGAGCAACTTAAAAAATATAATACAAACACATCCAAATCACTATCTGCACAAATATTAAGCTTGATAATTAAAAAAAAAGAAAGAGAGTTTGATGGTCTTCAGACTATGCACTGTTAATTAGGAGAGATTATAAGGATAGGTGCTTTAATAATATAAGAGTATGATCCTGCAAACATCTATGCACATAAGTAACTTAGCTTATTTATTTCCAGTGTAGTTAGCATGCAGCGTGGCTTATACTATTTATTGACAGTATGGTATCTACACTGGGCTTAAGTTCAGATAACATATTTAAGCCAGATTTAAACTAAACTGTGCTCTAACAAGGTTAGGCTGACTGGTGTGTATGCAGTCAAACTGTTAGAACAAGAGATGGGCCTGACAACGTAACATTGGTCCACCCTCCATCTATAGAGTCCATGTCTATAGAGTGTCTGAATTGGAACACACTAAATCCAAGCACCTTGAGGAAACCTGACTTCAGATCTCAATTCTAGAGCTTGGGCCCATCTCTGGTTAGAATAGTGTTCAAAACTGCACTTTGTGACCCCAAGGTAAACCCTAAGTAAGTACCACAAACTCATTGCATCCTTTGTTACCATGTGGTTTTCCATAATCACAAAGGAGGAAGCTTTGTTGTGCTTTTCCTCTGCACAAAGCAACAGACCTAAGCACTAATTTCTATGGTATCCACTGCATCCCATAGGATGAGTGAGTGCTAGTCTCATCATGGTGCAGAAATACAGCTCTTCTACACCCAAAATAGCTACATTCTCTTCCTCGGGTTGCAAGTATTAAAGGCAAGGGTCAATATTGGAGATCATAACTAGAAGGGTCTTGAGACACTGCAATAGGCAGACTGAGTTCTTCATCCTGTAAGCTGGATCATCACATGTTCTGAAGCAATATTACAAACCCCGTCCATAAAGGAAATGATTGCATATACTGATGGTTGACTTGTGACCCAGTATAGGGGAGGTCTGTGTCCAACTTAAGAGGCCTTCATGTCATGTAGCATGAAGATGCATAAAATGGCTCTTCCATCAAGAGAGGCACTTCCATGGAAGAGAGTCAGTGGGCCACAGGTGCAGACAAGGAAACCTTCCCATGCTTCAGTCCATAGGTGGCAGATGTAAGAGGCCAAGGGAGGCTAAGCTTCACCAAACAGCCATCGACATAATGCGTCTTCACCAGACGTGCTACATTGGCGCCGCTGCATCGATGCAGCAATGCTTATTTAGCACAGTAGTGAAGACAAGCCCATGGTGTTATATTTTTGGCCTAAAGGACTTGAGAGTGTCCTCCTAAGTATCACATTTAGTCATAAAAAAACCTTAAAGCCACCTCTGAACTTTAAAAACCAAAATTATGCAGAAAAAAGGACCAGCCAACCATTCTATTTTGCTACTAGCAATGACAGTAAATGTTAAACAGATAACAGAAATTGCAACCAAAAGCTGTTAAATATACGGTATTCTGAATGCCGCTATTTGCTACATGGTTTGGCAGAAGGCATTTCACCCACTGAAGACTCAGTAAGACTCTTGGTAGAAAAACGTTTTAAAAGCTGATCTGTAAATATTGAATAAAAATTCAATATTACGTGCTGAAGATACTGACTAAAGAGATTAAGGAAACACTTGAACCCATTTCTAAATTAAAATACTGTTATGTTGGGATTTGGGCAATCACACCACCTTGCTGACACTGTTAGGTGTGAAAACTGCCTTCCATTCACGCTAAATGAGGGAGCAATTAACGGCCCTTTTGTTTATTGATAGCTGAATGGAAAACACCACCTAATGAACAGATCACATGCTAGCCTGGGCAATGGCAGGGCCACGCAGTCCAAGGGTGGTCTGATAACAAATATGGGGGTGGCAGACTGACTACGGTCTTGTCTACACTGGGAAGTTGTCGACAAAACTTTTGTCTTTCATGGGTACTTAAAAACGCCACCCTGAGAAAGACAAAAGTTTTGCCGACCCAAGTGGCAGTGTCGGCTAGCTGTCCTGCCGACAAAGCTAACGCCGCTTGCGGGGCTGGAAGTGTCAACGCAGCTTTGTCGCTAAAAGCTGCGTGGTGTAGACAAGCCCTTCATTGCAGCTGTGTGTACAAAAGCAGCAGCAAAAACATGGAAGAGAGCAAGGAAGTCCCACTTGTAGTGTGGCCATGAGAAAAAGCTAAAAAAACGTGCTTTAGGGTAGAGTGCTGGCTGGAAAGGGGCCTGGAACTGAACCATAAACAAAACAAAAATAAGGCACAATTGTCTTCTATTGTTTGATTCCTATTGTGCCCAGGGCAATCTGACTTTATGTACATTATTTTTAAATAAATAGGGCTGCATTAAAGATATACCTGACTACCATCAATTTCTTCTCTTAACAGAAACTACCACCAAAGCTTGAATATAGTATAATTACTCTGATAAAAAGAGGTTTTAAACTGTACAGGTTTGAGGAGTCCAGACTATCCCTCCTGTTCCATTTCAAACACCTGCGGATGATGACCATATACACCACAGATCAGCACTGGAAACCAGCAACTGTTTCTTAAGGGTTCAGAGTAGTAGCCGTGTTAGTCTGTATCTGTAAAAAGAAAAGGAGGACTTGTGGCACCTTAGAGACTAACCAATTTATTTGAGCATAAGCTTTCGTGAGTTACATGCATCCGATGAAGTGAGCTGTAGCTCATGAAAGCTTATGCTCAAATAAATTGGTTAGTCTCTATGGTGCCCCAAGTACTCCTTTTCTTTTTGTCTCTTAAGGGAGTCCCAATTTTTCTAATTCTGCATGTTTTAAATAGTCTTTTGTCTGACAGGTTACAAGGATGTAAAAAAAACCCTTGTAACTTTAAAATATACAGTTGTGGGGGGAAAAAACAGGACTCTACTCAGCTCTCTTCCAACAAGCTCAGGTCTCCAAGCAAAGGTCAGTGAGGAATAACTTCACCAGTAGAGTGGGTAGGGGTGGGCCACTAGAGTTGGCTGTTCAGACAGGAGTTTATTTTGATATTTACAGATTAACTTAATACTCAAACCGCTTTGGTACAGTATAATGTTCAATATTTAATCAAAAATGATTAAAGGTCTAGAAAACACGACTTATGGGGGAAGAATGAAAAAAATGGGTGTGTTTAGTCTAGAGAAGAGAAGACTGAGGGGAGACATATCAGTTTTCAAGAACATAAAAGGAGGGAAACTGTTCTTGTTAACCTCTGAGGTAGGTCAAGAAGCAATGGGCTTAAATTGCAGCAAGGACAGTTTCAACATTAGGAAAAACTTCCTGTCAGGGTAGTTGAGCACTGGAATAAATTGCCTAGGGAGGTTGCAGAATCTTCATCATTGGAGATTTTTAAGAGCAGGTTAGACAAACACCTAGATAATATTTAGTCCTCCTTGAGTGCAGGGGACTGGACTAAATGACTTCTAGAGGTTCCTTCCAGTCCTATGATACTATGATTTCCCACATTATGTGGTTTATTTCTTTTCATTATTTTCTAATATTTACATTATTTTGGTGGTAAACCAATTACCTGCAGTTTGAATTCTAGAACATTTTCTCCTGGCTTAATTTTTCCTAATTCAAGCAGATCTTTCAGTTGATTTTTTTTCCTTCTATTTCCTCTACGGTTCAATTGCTGTTGTTCACTATCCTGATTATCAGAGTACTGTGAAGAAGAATTTTGACTGATGTGTACTGGATAAGGTACATATGAGACCAGACCTGTAACATTACATGAGGTCCGATTATTTTCGAAGATATTTTGTTGAAGAGTAATAGGAGAGATTTCTGCAGATTCTGACACCACTATTGGTTGCGTCTGGGAAGCTTTATTCCTATGTCCACATCTTTGCAGAGTCTTACCAGCAAGAACCTGTTGACATTCAGCGATTGGCTGATGGATATTATTATTGATAACAAAGCTTTCGGCTTCTGAAATATTTAACATGCTGGTTACTGGCCTGGGATTTGGAGACTTGCTTCCTTGTTTTGCAATCGCTATATAATTATTTTTTTCTTGCTGTGAGCACTTTGTTGGAGTAATGCAAATAACAGGTTCTGACGGCGAAGTTCCCATTTCTATAGTATCTGTGGATTTTGATGTCTTATCACAGGTATATTCTCTGACCTTGTTTTCATATGTCAAAGCATGGGAAGAAACTTCTTTGCTTGTACTTGCCTCTTCATTTGCTCCTGTCTCATCTAAGCAGCTGTTTGGATGTTGGCTGTACTCTTGATCTGAAAATTTACCTTCTACAGGAAGAAGTGTTTCCACTAGGTTTCCATTAGTCAATTTGGCACCAGGATCTATACTTACTGTAACTACATCACGATGCACTATTTCATCAACAGTCAGATCATCTCTGTTGTCCTTTTCATGAGAAATAATTGAGTTTGGGATTTGTTTCTTTGAACATCTAGAATACACTTGCTTTGCTTTCCTATAGTTTTTTATTTTCTGGCCTAGTTCTTTCTGTTTTTGTGCCACAACCAAAAGACTCTTTTGCCTAGAAGCAAGTTTAACTAGTTGTTCCCTCAATGCTCCTTGTTTAAAAGACTCCACTGAAGCCCTATAGGAAATAAAACAAACAAACAGAAGATTAATTCAGAACACAAAATACAAACTCTCTCCCTCTCTCTCTCTGTGCACACACATGTGCGTGTGTGTGTATAAAACTTCTAAAGAAACAGAAATATTTTTTAAAAACTCTGCCAAGGCCCAAAAATTGAACAACCTTTTTATTGTTTGTATAGTTTATGGTTCAAATCCCAATTCTTATGCAAAATAAGTGGTGTGCAGAGAAACCTTGTAGAGGCCAGAATCTTCCTCCTCAGCCTGGAGGCAGGATGTGAAGCATTGTAACTACTGTAATATTCTTGACCTACTATGCATCCCTAAGAGTGGAATTGAGAAATTGGATCCACACAGTCACTGGCCAATTCCCTACCCTCATATCACCAGAGGCCACTGCACAGGGGAAATATAAATCTTCTGGGTATTCCTCTGGACCCTTCCTCTCACAACACTGGTTTATTGCAATCAGGCCTTCTGCAGCCCTCACTTGGGCCCTGATTCTGCAATAAGCTCTGCACAGGCAAACTCATGGGCCTGGGTGGAGCCATACTGAAGTTCATGGAGCTCCACACAGATGCAAGAGTCTACCAGTCTGCCAGGATTTGACATTGTGTAGTCCTTCAAATAAATGTTATTTTGTAAAACAAATGCTTTCATATTCTTTATCCAAACCTTTCCTCCCAAAAATTGACATTAGCAGCCCAGAATTCATGACTTGCTATGCCATGATAATTGTGTGTGTGCACATGTGTGCATGTACACTCACATAATGAATGAAAATTTCAGTAAGAGAGATTTCAATTTCAAGCTTCTACTGCTTCTTCAAGCTTCTTTCAAGCTTACTTAAGTAGAAGTAAGCAAAGCAATTATTTTTAAAATTGTGAAAAATATCTTGATAATATCCGTTATATTCAACTGATTTCCATGAGTGTCATACCCAGCTCGTGGGTGGCCAGACCTATTAGTTGGATCCAAAATCCACAGTCATGAACGGTGGAAAAAATGGAGGTTAGAACCATGAGTTGGGAACCTGAGTCAGGCCAGGTCAGGATACTGGAGGTCAGAGGCAGGAGACAAACTGGAGGTCAGGAACCACAAGTCAAGCCAGGTCGAATGCCAGGAGATCAAGCTGGGGAAGCAAGAAGCATGAAGCACACTGTCCAAACCAGGGTGGAGCCCAATTGTTTGGACATATTCCTGTTCCTGCTGCTGACTTAAGTAGGGCCAGCAGACCAATCAGCTACTCTGGGACTCCACCAATCGGACCTCGGGATAGAGCCTCACATTGGGTTTGGGCCCAGGAACTTATAGTCTAGTTTCCAAGAGGGTCTGTCCATGCAGAGGTATCTTGTTGAAAGCTGTAGTTGCATCTATGAAATTGTCCACTGTTCCATAATCAATGAAGGCCCGTTGGAGGAGAGTCCACCAAGGATCCCCTAGGACGCACAGCTTGATAGGTACCTGCAAATGAGAAGCCCCTGGATGGGCACCAGGGTGCCTTTCAGTGAGAAATAAGTAATAGGGAAGTTCTTTTCTCTGAAGGCCCATGCCAGTCTCCTCCCCCACAATTCCAGGGCTGGCTTGTGCCCCCAAGCTTCTTAGTGTTTGCAGTGGGCAGGCCGAGATGATGTGGCCAGGCTCACCACAGCAGAATCACAGGTGGCACTGATTGTGCCATTTCTTTTCTTCACATGTGAGTTGCTGATGAGACCTGCTTGCACGGGTTCAGCAGGTGATACAGAAGCTGATGTCACTGTCCCTGGGCGTTGGGGCTGCAGCTAACTTCTTTTCTTCTCCCTTCATTCCTATAGTCAATTATCTATGTGGATGATAAGGTCCACCAAGGCATCTGGGCCCTTAGGCATCTCTATCTGGGCCAGTTCATCTTTGATTTCTTCCCACAAGCCCCACTGGAACTGATACTGCTGCTTTGTTCCACTCTGTATCTGCTGTGAGGCGGCGGAAGTGCACTGAATAGGAGGCCACTATGCCTTGCCCCTGCCTGAGTCCCCTCAGAGAGGCCTCAGGCATTTGAGCTCAGTGCAGATCATCGAAGATGGTTGACTTAAATTGGAGAAAGGTGTCTCAGTTTGACAGCACAGGGTATGGCCTTCCAGCCAAAGGGGAGGTCCAGTCTAACACAGCCTCCTGTCAGCAGGCTGATTACCAAGGTTACCTGGGCCAGGTCAGAAGCACAGATTTGGGAATGCATCAGAAACCAAAGGTGTGGTTCCTGTCAAACCATTTGGGCAAAGGTATTGCAGGCCCCTATTTGGGGAAAGACACTGTAGGCTATGTTCATAGCGTGGTGTTCTCGGTGCTCAGCTGCCTCTTTTCCTCTACAAAATGGCATCCTTTGCACAGCATGACCTCACATGCACTATATGTACATACTCATGCATTTCGCAGTACATACCATGCATGTGAGGTCATGCTTTGTGCAGGACACCATTTTGCTCTAAAAAATGGCATCTTCCATGCTAGAGTCCTGGGACGAAACAATTCATTCAAGTGGGCTCATGCCAACAACAAGGAATCCCTAGGCTGGGGCGTGTGTGATTTTTTTCTTCTGAAATAATGATACCATGAAAAGCTCTAGATTATAAACAGGTCTTATATTAGTATAGCTTATTCTATTTCCTGAATCAGAATAAGCTATATCAGTGTAAGCCCTTTTATACCAATATAACTGTGTCCATATGAGAGTTTGTTTTGATTTTTTTCTTCCCTGTTTTAATTATACTTTAAAGCAACAAAACTTTTCAGTATAGACAAGGCTTAAGAGAAAGCACCATGAAAAGAAGATTCTAATGACTTGAAAGTAAGCACAGTAATGAGCCCCATTTTAACTACTTTTCACATAATCAAATGGAAGTGTAAAGCTGGCATGCAGTTCATTACACTTGAAAGATAGCAGCTATATTGGTTACAGCACATTTGCAACACCTCAAAAATATTTATCAGTTCAGTGCTGTAGAACACAGCTTCACTAATAACATTCAAAGATTGTCTGATAGGCTTGTGCAAATCAGTTATGCTGTCATTACTTGTCTCTTTAACTACTGAGGATTTGTCTATATGAACACTTACTTTGCAGGAAGGTAGGGTGTAAATCTAAAAATGTGTGCACTTTGATCTGTGAAATGGGAGTAGATTAAAGCACATTATGGAACTTTTAACGCATGGCAGCAGGGTTCACACGGACAATTAATGCACAGCAGGCTAACGTGAGATAGATTTACACTCCAACTGACCGCAAATTAAGAGTTCACATAAACAAGTCCTAGTTTATTCACAAGGATGATCTTGGAATGTTAACTCCTTTTCACTTAGAATCAGAATATCAGGGTTGGAAGGGACCTCAGGAGGTCATCTAGTCCAACCCCCTGCTCAAAGCAGGACCAGTCCCCAATTTTTGCCCCAGATCCCTAATGGCCCCCTCAAGGATTGAACTCACAACTGTGGGTTTAGCAGGCCAATGCTCAAACCACTGAGCTATCCCTCCCCCCAAGCCTCGCTTTTTTTAATTACCTATCTTATGTGTCTATATATATATTATCTCTTATGGGAGGTGCATGAACTGCTGGCTGGGGGAGGCTAGCCCACAGCTCCTCCTCTTCCACACCCCCTGACGGAACCCAGCCCCTCCCCCTGCATGGTTGCCACCCTCCCCCAGGTTAGCACCCCCAGCCCTGGAGCGCTGGGAGGGCAGGTGGTGTGGCCACAGCCCCCAGCCCCGGAGCACTAGGCGGACGGGTGGCGTGGCCTTGGAGCACTGGGCGGGCTGGGCAGTGCAGCCCCAGCCCCAGCCCTAGCCAGGGCCACGGCACAGGGACAGGGGAAATGGCAGGAGGGGTTCTGGAGGAGTGTGCGTGGGGCCATGCCTGGCTGTTTGGGGAGGCACAGCCTCCCCCAGCTTATGATGCCCGCTGCCCGAATGATCTATGGAATGAAGAGGGGTTAAGGGCTTGGATTGGACTCAGGAGATATGGGTACAATCCCAGACACTGCCACAGATTTCCCCTGTGACCATAGGAAAGTAATCTAATATCTCTGTGCCTCAGTTTCTAATCTTCTGTCATATCCCTTTCTCTGAACCCTTATCTTCCTTTTTATTTAGACTGCTCTTTGGGGCAGGAAACATCTCTTATTATGTGTTTACACAAATATTTTACATGTTTGAGTCAGCCAAATCCTGAAATTCTCACTCAGGCACAAACTTTCACTGACGCCAATAGGAGTTATAGTTGATAAAAGACTGAGTTAGGACCACACAGTTTTGCCTTCACGTTACTGCTTGCTGGCCTTCTAACAAGATCCATCTGTGTTGCTTTTAAAAAATAAACCTTTAATAAAACCACAGTTTACATTCCACTTACCTGTATTTTTTAGCTAGGACATCCCTTTCTGCTTTCTGTTTGGCAAGCACTTCATTCAAAGTGTCTTGTATCTGTGATAGGCCATGAATATACAGTCCTGTTCAGCATTTAAACATAGTCAAAATTATTATTAAAATGAGAGGCAGAAATTATGATCATTACAATGGTTGAGGCAGCAAAAACAAGGCTGGAGAATGAAAATATTGTTATGGCAACAGGTGATACTATCATCTACGTTATGAGTCATTGCTTTATAAGCACTCAAGATTAAATTCTCCACAGGAAGTTATATTTAACTACTTAAATTTGAATAGCTCAAATTTTAGGAAGTATGGAATTGCAGTAGCCACACCCACACAGTAATAAGGAATTGTGTAGGTTAAAGCGCACTCTTCTGGCTGATGGGCAATTAAATCTTTTTGAGGTCCTTTGAAATCAATGGAATTATGCTGACATACACTAGCTGAGGACCAGGCCCATTAAGACTATAGAAGCAAGAATTTGATAAATTGAATATTTTATATATTAGAGAATAGCCTGGATTTTATTTCTTCAAGCCAAATATGACATCTGAATCAATGTATAATAGTTTCACATACTGTATTAAAACATACATCACAGAAATTAGAAATTGATTAAGTTTGCTAGCTATATCCCTCTGTGAATCACAAGGAGGAACAATTTTTAAATGGTCCTATTAGATGCCCCCTTTTCTTTGGCCTATAATACAACAGAAAATTGAAAGGTCTCAACTGGCACAGATTTAACAACATCACAAGTGCAGTGTATGACCCAGGGACCTCTAGGTGCCAACTGGCAGAGTGTACAGGCATGCCCCATAACCTCAGCCATACAGAACGCAATGCCATCCAAAACTGGTTAGTCTCTAAGGTGCCACAAGTACTCCTTTTCTTTTTAGAAACAACTCTGACATTATAATCAAAGGAACTGGCAAAGGAGGTGCTATAGTCATAATGAACAGGTTGGATTATGAACAGGAGGCTGCCAAGCAACTCTCCAACACCACATTCTATAGGCGACTATCCTCTTATCCCACTGAGGGGTACCAAAAGAAACTACACCATTTGCTCAAGAAACTCCCTGAAAAAGCACAAGAACAAATCTGCACAGACACACCCCAAGAGCCCCGAGCAGGGGTATTCTATCTGCTACCCAGGATCCATAAACCTGGAAATCCTGGACGCCCCATCATCTCAGGCATTGGCACTCTTACAACAGGATTATCTGGTTATCTGGACTCTCTCCTCAGACCCTATGCTACCAGCACTCTTAGCCATCTTCGAGATACCACTGACTTCCTGAGGAAACTACAATTCCTGAAAACACCATCCTGGCCACCATGGATATAGAAGCTCTTTACACCAATATTCCACAATAGGACAGACTATAAGCTGTCAGGAACAGTATCCCTAATGAGGCCACGGCACACCTGGTGGCTGAGCTTTGTGACTTTGTCCTCACCCATAACTATTTCACATTTGGGGACAATGTATACCTTCAAGTCAGCGGCACTGCTATAGGTACCTGCATGGTCCCACAGTATGCCAACATTTTTATGGCTGACTTAAAAAAACGCTTCCTCAGCTCTTGTCCCCTAGTGCCCCTCCTCTACTTGCGCTACACTGATGACATCTTCATCATATGGACCCACAGGAAAGAGGCTCTTGAAGAATTCCACCAGGATTTCAACCATTTCCACCCCACCATCATAGAATATCAGGGTTGGAAGGGACCTCAGGAGATCATCTAGTCCAACCCCCCTGCTCAAAAGCAGGACCAATCTCCAATTAAATCATCCCAGCCAGGGCTTTGTCAAGCCTGACCTTAAAAACTTCTAAGGAAGGAGATTCTACCACCTCCCTAGGTAATGCATTCCAGTGTTTCACCACCCTCCTAGTGAAAAAGTTTTTCCTAATATCCAACCTAAACCTCCCCCACTGCAACTTGAGACCAACCTCAGCCTGGACCAGTCCACAAAAGAGTTCCACTTCCTGGACACCACAGTGCAAGTAAGTGATGGTCACATAAACACCACCCTATACCAGAAACCTACTGACTGCTATACTTACCTACATGCCTCCAGCTTCCATCCAGGACATATCACACAATCCATTGTCTACAGCCAAGCCCTAAGATACAATCAAATTTGCTCCAATCCCTCAGACAGAGACAAACACCTACAAGATCTTTATCAAGCATTCTTAAAACTACAATACCCACCTGGGGAAGTGAGGAAACAGAATGACAGAGCGAGATGGGTACTCAGAAGTCACCTACTTCAGGACAGGCCCAACAAGGAAAATAACAGAACACCACTGGCCATCACGTACAGCACCCAGCTAAAACCTCTCCAGCACATCAACAATGATCTACAACCTATCCTGGAAAATGATCCCTCACTCTCACAGACCTTGGGAGGCAAGCCAGTCCTCGTTTACAGACAGCCCCCCAACCTGAAGCAAAGGCTTACCAGCAACTACACACCACACCACAGAAACACTAACCCAGGAACCAATCCCTGTAACAAACCCCGTTGCCTACTTTGCCCCATATCTACTCTAGTGACAACATCAGAGGACCCAACCACATGAGCCACACCATCAGGGGCTCATTCATCTGCACGTCTACTAATGTGACATGTGCCATCATGTGCCAGCAATGCCCCTCTGCCATGTACATTGGCCACACCGGACAGTCTCCACATAAAAGAATAAATGGACACAAATCAGACATCAGGAATGGTAACATACAAAAGCCAGTAGGAGAACACTTCAATCTCCTTGGACATTCTATAACAGATTAAAAAGTAGCCATACTTCAACAAAAAAACTTCAAAAACAGACTTCAAAGAGAAACTGCAGAGCTACAATTCATTTGCAAATTTAACACCATTAATTTGGGCTTGAATAGGGACTGGGAGTGGCTGGCTCACTACAAAAGCAATTTTCCCTCTCTTGGTATTGACACCTCCTCATCAATTATCGGGAATGGACCACCTCCACCCTGACTGAATTGGCCTTGTCAACACTGGTTCTCCACTTGTAAGGCAATTCCCTTCTTGTTATGTGTCAGTATACTTATGCCTGCATCTGTAATTTTCACTTCATGCATCTGAAGAAGTGGGTTTTTTACCCTCAAAAGCTTATGCCCAAATAAATCTGTTAGTGTTTAAGGTGCCACCGGACTGCTCGTTGTTCTTGAGGTATGTAAGACAGGTCACCAGAAAGTGATAAACAGGTTCTGTTCAGACAAGGAATAAGAGACATTTATCTCCCTGGCTGACCATTGTGTAGCTTACAACAGAAGTCTATTTGCATACAGAATCACCAGCTAATCAACACTACGAAGTCGAAAAGTGATCACAAAATCTACAGAAAGGAACACAGAGCAGGAGGGTGTCTGGTTTATGACTAAGATGAAAGAATTAGTCTGATGTATCAGGAGAATGCAAGGAGATGCCGAAGGTCTTCAATCTAGGAAGTAAGATGACCATATGTTTGCTTCACGAAAAATATTACAGCCAAGCTTGGCTGAAAACACTGGAGAGACTTTGGGGTGAGCTAAACTTAATTAAACAAAGTAGTATCTTGTTAATTAAGTTTAGGCTCTGGTACGTGTGTTATGATTTTATTTTATATGTAATCCTTTGTTTCCAATATTTCTGCTTCCTATCATTTTAATTTCTGCTCTTTGTTAAATAAGCGTATACTTACTTTCACTATAGACAAATCTAAGGACAGTGTGTTAAGTGGAGCTATGTACTATGGTATAAAACTGGTAAGGTGCAGTGTACTTTTCCTTTGGGAACAGCAGGTCTGGTAATTCTGTGAGTGTCCAATGATCAGCAGCTGGACACTCTAGGGGGACATCCATAGGACTAGGCGGTTAGAATATGCCTTTCGCTAACCAGTAAAGAAAGAGTGTGTTCTGAGGAGGCCTGGTCGGGAGTGCTTTTATTGCCCATAGCCATGGAGTTGACCCATGGCAGGCACAGACAAGGCTTGCTCCTGCTAAGGGCAGGTGGTAGCAAGATACCTCACAACCCTAGGGACCCCTGAGAAGCGTCACACCAACATGTCCCTGTGGATGCCAGTGGGATGATATGACAACCAAATATCATCAAACCCATTAGTAAACAGGAAATACACAATTTTTGTTTCTATCAACCATTACACCTGAAAATGGAACACTGCAGAATGAAAAAAACAACCCACAACTCACAGAATGTGTTCAGAAAGCTGATTTTCTCATTTTACTGAGCATTGCATATATTTATTTATCAAAATAAGGGAAATGTGCACATATTGTGTTTATTAAAGTGACAGATCACAGTACTTCTAAGAGCTGGGTATACTGCATGTAACTGTGTCGCTAATTTATTTTCATAGTAATCCCAATGCACCTTTATACTGTTGATCATTCTTGTGCTTCTTCCTAAGCAACTAATTCAGTTTATGTTAAAAGGTGCCAAATTATTAGGTGGTTTTGTCACAAGGGACTTAAATAAAGACCATCATATCCATTTCTCTTGTGACCTTAGCCAGAGAAAGTCTGATACTCCTTATTTCTGTTTTATGAAACTGGGTGGATCTCTGCTTCAATCACACAGGAGCCTGTCTGGTTATTCAAACACATGGAAATGTAACCATTTTGATCAGTAATTCTCAGCTTTGATTTATTTATTCAGCTGTAAGATCCATGGGTGTGACTGATATTCCACACTGCTGAGCAACTGACTGATGATATGATTGAAAAGCTTTTATATACAATCACCTGAGTCTTTTTTCATTCCTTTTCCCTATGAACAAGAAGAACGTTTTCCCTAGTTCACATTTCTTTTAATGAGGCTCTGTTGATCTTTGCAGGACCTCAAATTTAGTTAGTTTACAAGACATGTGGCTATATTCATCTTGGGTTTACACTGGTGTCCGCTAGTGCAAACCTAATCACTGAGCCCCAGCTATGAAAATTACATTAGGAGTGGTTTCAATGATGGAAAACAGCTATAACTTCCTTTTTGGGGGAATAGAGTGATCACAGAGGGTCAGATCTGCCCGAAAAATAGACAGCACCAGCTGGGAAGGCCACATGTCAAGTGAGGCCAGGATATCCACTTTTTAAGTACATTCCCTCAGGAGCATCTGCCAGCTTGGTTCCTATGAATCTACAGCAAATCTAAAGCTGATCTGCTGATCTAAAGCTGAATCTAAAGCTGATCTGCACCAGTAGAAATCCTGAGGTGGTAGGAGGTCTGCACCATCAGGTATCCTCTTTTGAAATTAATCAGTCCTGGGCACAAGAGGGCAAAGGTAATTTCCAAGGCACTTCCAAGTGCCATCACTTATGAATCTGCCCCATCATTTCCCCTAACACATTTTTTATTTTTTGCCATAAAATGTTTTGGGTCCCTACAACTATAATTGCACTGGAATGAAATGCTGCATTCATTTGTGCATATACATGCATAGTTCTTCTTGCCTATGGAGAGGCTCCAAAACAACCATGTCCAGTCATGAATAAGAGATCCTTGTCAATAATATTGGACTTGAGTTACTGAGCACTGTGTGACTATTGCTTGCTGTTGTTCTTGTTGCTGTTCAGATATTCATGTTTTTTATGGCTAGCCTGATTTGTTCAAACTGAAAAGGTAATATTTCCATACCTCCAAATAGCTTGTTTCACTTTTTTATCATCTGGTATATTGCAGATATGACTGAAAGTACCCTGAAAGGTATGTATACCAAAAGTTGAGACCCCCCTACTTTAAAAGTCTTGAATTAAGTACTATCCTAGAACCGTACTCTCAAATTGTATTTTCCAGAAGGATGTATGAAAGTATATTACTTTGCAATATACTAGAGTAATGATTGCATACATTAGAGCAATAATGAAAATTGAACTTGAATTCACATCTACCTTCATCTTTTGGGTTTCTTACTTCAAACAGCGACAGTTTTTCCTGCTTCTTTTCTATATCTTGTAATGTGGCAATGATGGACTCATGCTATCAAATACAAACATTGTTAACTTTATTGTTACAGAGGTATAGACAAGGTTTTGTATACTGAACCTAAGCAAACTGAACCTAAATTTTATGGCAATATTCCTGACTTCCACAGTATACTGGCATGGTTGATTCATTTAAATAAAGAAAACATAGGTTTATAATTAAATATGAAAATGAATCAGTATGAAACTAGTACAGCAGCCCATGTGGTTTATTTTGATATTAAATTCACTCTATCTGATCTTTCTCCACATTTTACACTTTTGTTATGCCAAAGATTTTTGTATTGAGAAGCCTAACTGCAACGCAGAAGGGCAAAGCTGAAGATTTTGACAGCCGGGAAAGGGACAGCTGGGGTTTCTGGCACTTGTAGAAAAGTGGGAGGCAGTTGAGATAAGCACATTAGCTGAGCGCGTCTGTTAAAATGATCAGCAGTGGAATAATTAACGTTGATATTTAGAACCATTTTCCAGGCTTTTTTGCAGATTTGGGAACAGAACACTGCATCGGTTTACATTTGGTTAATGTTTTCAAGGTTTCCTGTGCAACCATATGGGATAGAACTTTTTTTTAATGAACGTTTTGTTTCTGCAGCACAATATGGGTGTTTTCAGCAATGGAATGCATGGGGCTCTAGGTATAGATAGTTTAAAAAAGGCATTTCCATCACCTCTAGTGCTGTGATTTAAGGTGCCACAGACTCATATGTATCAATGAGAGTTTTACTTTCGCAGGGCCTATGTTCAAATATTCCAGCTTTGTTTTAAACCAAAATAACCTTTCATCTCTCTCCAATTAACTTGATTGCCAAGTCATTGCTTCTCAAAAGGGCCACTTTGGAAATGCTGGGATCCTGGCATTTTCCATCCATATGGACAATATGAATATGAATGTAGCCTGCTAATTGTACAGGAAGTATAGATGCACAGAAATCATGAACAGAAACAGATGGAGATAGATTGCACAAACTGAATTTATCTTTACTTTCTTCACGCTTAGCTTCATAACATGCTGCTGCTCTCAGCATCCACTTCAGGGATTATTACTTTATCTAACCACATGGTGTAATTACATTATTCAATCAATGGATGACAATGTACAGAACAGAAATGTACTGCACTGTAAAGCAATCTTTAAAAAACTCAACATCTATACTTACTGTGCCACATTTTTCTCTGGTCATATCATGGTGCAAAACCAATGGAACATCAGCCTTTTTACAGCAATCATAACAAGTATGAGTTGGTCTTCTTGACCTAGAAGGACCTATATCTTTTCCCCCCACAATTAAGAAAACAAACATAATTTTAAAATAATGATGGAAATATATGTATAAAACCAATAGAATAGAATAGACGCCAATTGTACAAATTACCAAGAGTAAAAAGCCGACCATGATATAAATAAAAAATTGTATATGCAGATGAGATCAAATCAAATTAGTCCAATACTGTTCCGGAGACTGTACTTAAGTCTAAGACCCACTAAAACATTATTCCAATACTGAATGCAAAAACGACAAGGTTTATGTGAGGGAAATACAGAAAACCAACAAAATTTAAGGGACCAAATACATCCTTTTTATAACCCCACTGACTTGACCAGGAAAGAATTTGTGCCATACATTCTACTGTCTTAACGATATAGATAAATAACCATCAAGGATATACTACTCCTAGAAAATGCCTGTCCCTGACATGAAAACAATAAAGCAAACTTGCAGCATGTTTGAGACGAGGATGTAAATCTGTGATTAACATTATGAAATAGCTAACGTACCAGTAACCTCCGTTGTTTCATAAGCAACTTCACTCTCAGTAGCACCATAAGACTTAAGCAATTCCTTCATTTTATCATTGCATGCTTCATCCAAAGCATTTTTCCCATACTTGTCCTTCTCATTAGGGTTTGCTCCATGATGTAATAGAATATTGACTGCCTACAATATAGTTCTTAATTATTATTATCATCGTAGTAGCCCCTAAAATGTGCTAAATGCTGTGCAGACAAATAAGATGACACAGTTCCTGTTCTGATGAGTTAACACTTTAACAAGACAAAGAAACATATGAACGGAGGGGGAGAGATACAGCAATTTAGCTTGCAAGTATCTTTGGCATTTATTTACTTAGTTCTATGTCTTATACTTTTAATTTGTTTATTACATATATGACCAATTCATAATTGCTTGTTTAGTTTGTCATCTTCATAGTGTTACTGTATGCAACACATTCCCATGTTGCTACAGAACATCATACATCAGTTCCAAATTAACAGAATCTGGTAAATGTCAAATAACCATTTTGGATAAATATAAACAAGATACAGAAAATAAGTGGACTTTTGTTTCTCAGTGGTATGTGATGGTGACTTCGGCCCCAATTCTACAAACACTTATTCACATGCCTAATTTTAAATACATGACTAGTCCCATTGAAGTTAATGGGACTATTTAAGTATTTAAAGCTAAGCTGTATGTGTTTGCACATGTAGGCCTTACCTGCTAAAAATTTTCAGATTTACGACTCTTATTTCCCTGCCTGAATCTTCCTGCTCCACCATTCATGCCAGTGGAATCATCTCCTTCATTTTTATTTTCTGTCACAGAGAAGATGAAAGAGATGGAAAACCTGCTCTTTTGACTAATTGGAGGAAGGGTGTGTATGTTTGAACCAATCTGGCATCATCTACCCAGCTTTAACTTAATGGAAGTCCCTATGCAAAACAGCATGGACTTTTAAGTGTCCTCTATATGGCACCCTTCCATGGCAAATATACAGGAATATTCTCATTTAGATTAATACTGTCATCACTAACTTACAAAGACAACTATTTTGGACCTTCAAACTATCTCACATGGAGGTGAAGTGAGCGTTAAAAGGGAAATATGTTGCTATGGGGGATGGAATGCCCCAGGGCAACTGCAGAAGGTATGAACCTCAGTGCAGATGCTCTGGTCCTTCTCAGATACCTCAGATTCCCCCTAAAGGATCAAGTCATCCATGAGTTGCTCTCCTGGCAAGCAAACCTCTGATCCTCTCTCTTCCTCCCTGATTGCATCCTACCTTAGAAACTCTGGACCTCTAAAATTGCTGGAAAGTTCTGAGTATCTCTCGTCCTCCCACAGCTTTTCATTTAGGAAGAAAAAATAAGGTACTTTGTTTATTTGTAATAACAATTTTCTCTTACTACCTTGTTAGTACATTTCTTTGCTGAAATGTGAGGGTGTCAAGAAACAGAAACCACCTGGCCATAAGCTAAACTTCTCAAGGTAGGGTCTCCTTTTTATGGGAACCTCTCCCAGCATTCTTTTCTGGTAGCTGGTGCTTTACATTTTGCAAGTACAACCAGCTGCTACCATTAAGGGCAGGTCTAGACTAGAAACTTGCATCGGTGCAGCTGCACCACTTAGTGCTTCTGGTGAAGACGCTTTAAACCGACAGGAGAGAGCTCTCCTATCAGCTTAATAACTTCATCTCCATGTCTACGCTCGCATTTAGGTCAGTATAACTACGTCAGTCATGGGTGTTGATTATTCACACCCCTGAGCAACACAGTTATACCAAAGTAATTCTATAGTGTAGACCAGGGCAATTGGCTAACTGGAAGGTGGCTTCAGCTTGATGCATCTCTCTCCCTTCCAGCTGGTAAGTATTCCTAATATGCTTTCAACTTTCTCTTAACATTGACGAGAAGCTGGCACAATCTCACATTAATTCTTACAACAAAACTGCAATTAAGACATATTTCTTCAAAGATTAATTGAAACACTTTTTAACAAACTGTTTATGATCCAAAATCATTAACACAAAAAAATGGAGATGTCAAAATTAAAAATGAATGCATTTTAAAAACACTGGGTTTGACTCTTTGTTCACTTACATCTGTTTTAACCTGATATAACCTCATTAACTTCAGTGGAGCTACTCCTCACTTACCCCATTGTGAGAGCAAAATCAGGCCCACCATCTGATTTTGAAAGGAATTTAAAGGTATTTAGGCACTTACCTCCCCTTGAAATCAGTGGAGTTAGGCACATGAATTCCTTTAAATATGTGACCCGCATTATTTAAAAATCACTTATTTCTTTACTTACTGGCAAAGACCTGCATTTCAGGCCTACAGGGTTCTGTATCTTCTTACGACAAAATTCTGTCCTCTGATATGTATGTTCAATTCCCAATATTTCAATGAGAGTTATACATGCACATCCCAAAGCAGAATTTGGTTCTTACAATTAACATCAACAGTACATAAAGTAGCAGAAGAAATACAGCTACATGCTCTGATTTAGATGTTCATATTGTCATTGTTTGTTGCAGAAGAGACACAATGCTGGACTTCACAGAATCATAGAATATCAAGGTTGGAAGGGACCTCAGGAGGTCACCTAATCCAACTCTCTGCTCAAAGCAGGACCTAATCCCCAACTAAATCATCCCAGCCTGAGCTTTGTCAAGCCTGACCTTAAAAACCTCTAAGGAAGAAGATTCCACCACCTCCCTAGGTAACCCACTCCAGTGCTTCACCATCCTCCTAGTGAAAAAGTTTTTCCTAATATTCAACCTAAACCTCCCCCACTGCAACTTGAGACCATTACTTCTTGTTCTATCATCTGATATCACTGAGAACAGTCTAGATCCATCCTCTTTGGAACCCCCTTTCAGGTAGTTGAGAGCAGCTATCAAATCCCCCCTCATTCTTCTCTTCTGCAGACTAAACAATCCCAGTTCCCTCAGCCTCTCCTTATAAGTCATGTGTTCCAGTCCCCTAATCATTTTTGTTGCCCTCTACTGGATGCTTTCCAATTATTTCACATCCTTCTTGTAGTGTGGAGCCCAAAACTGGACACAGTACTCCAGATGAGGCCTCACCAGTGCTGAATATAGGGGAATGATCACGTCCCTCAATCTGCTGGCAATGCTCCTACTTATACGACCCAAAATGTCATTAGCCTTCTTGGCAACAAGGGCACACTGTTGACTCATATCCAGCTTCTTGTCCACTGTCACCCCTAGGTCCTTTTCTGCAGAACTGCTGCCTGGCCACTTGGTCCCTAGTCTGTAGCAGTGCACGGGATTCTTTCGTCCTAAGTGCAGGACTGCAATTGTCCTCGTTGAACCTCATCAGATTTCTTTTGGCCCTCTAATTTGTCTAGGGCCCTCTGTATCCTATCCTGACCCTCCAGCATATCTACCACTCCTCACAGTTTAGTGTCATTGGCAAACTTGCTGAGGGTGCAATCCATGCCATCCTCCAGATCATTAATGAAGATATTGAACAAAACTGGCCCAAGACCGACCCTTGGGACACTCTGCTTGATACAGCTGCCAACTAGATATGGGGCCATTGATCACTACCCGTTGAGCCCGATGATCTAGCCAGCTTTCTATCCACCTTATAGTCCATTCAACCAGCGCATACATCTCTAACTTGCTAGCAAGAATACTGTGGGAGACTGTATCAAAAGCTTCACTAAAGTCAAGGAATAACACATCCACTGCTTTCCCCTCATCCACAGAGCCAGTTTTCTCATCATAGAAGGCAATTAGGTTAGTCAGGCAGACTTCAATTTTGACGGGTTAAAAAATTAGGTTTTTATTTATTTTTAATGCAAGTCTACATATGTATTCTATTAATAATTTTGGATTCAGTTATTTAAACCATCATTTTCATTTGCATGTGCAAATTGTGGTATTTGTATGCCCATAATTGAAAATCAGGCCCAGGCATGGTAATGTGAGTAGAATCGTACCTTGAAATAATTGCCAGAAACTGCATCATGTATTGGTAAAGTCCCATCCAGGCTTTTGCTATTAACATCAGCACCAGCTTTTAGTAACTCTAAGATCACCTCTGTAAATCCCCTGTTGGAAGCTTCATGAATTGCTGTCCAGCCTAGTAAAACCAGATCAAAATTTAGATTCTGATTCTGATGTCTAAAACCCACACTGGTCACAGACAATTATACACTTTTTTGTATTCAGTCCAGTAACTGTCAGACTTCTTTGTTTATAATAAATCTGAAACAAAGAATTGCCCTGAAACACTGGGGCAATTTTTCCCTGTTGTAACTCAGTTGACTTCAAAGATAAATTTATTCCAATATTGGCTAAAGAAATGTGCTATTTGCTTTTTAAATCATATTATCAGAAATAATAATAGCATAGAAACTGCAGATTAGAAATATCAGAAATCAAAAGCATAAATACTGACAATCCAATATCTAGCACTGGTGGCATCATGTGATATCAAACTTTAAACCAGCTCTGGATCCAGAATGGATTACTGGCCATCCCTGGGGCTAAGGCTTGTGTAATTTAGGAGGAAATTCTACATTTAGGAGGAAAAGAAGGAAACGTCTACCTTGTAATTTAATTTTTAAAAAAATGGAACTGCCTGAAGTGGCTCAAAGGTTGAGAACTTGATTCTGCATTTATGCATGTGGATAACTTTACTTATGAGTAACGCCACTGCATTCACAAGCCAAGTGGGCAAAGTGAAGGGGAGGTATGTGATAAATGTGCATCACGTGTCCACAATTTATCACATACCTAAGCAATTTATTACATGGATGTTGTGACACTACACTCCATATTCATCCTAGTAATATTATTATGAGATGATTATGGCATAATTGTAATGCATTTTGTACAAAATAGGTCATATAAGGTATCATTGGAAAAGTTATGATTTGCTGAATACGATTATCCTATTTATATGCATGTGTCATTTTTGTATCATTTTTGTATCTGAAGTTCTGAATATTGACTATGTATCTGTATTTCACATGTAGTCACACCTGGGTGACACCCACAAGGCAAAAATGCTTCCAGTCTAGATAGTCGACTGTGAAGGGCCTATTCAAGGTAATGGGCCATTAGGAAAAACTTAGGAGAAGCTTATCCACCACCTGGTGAGTCTTCCTGAGAACACTCCAGACAGCATGTAAGTAATGGCTGCTATGACTCAGCCACATGACACGGAATTCCATCTTGGATACCAGTGTTTTTCCACAAACTGAATTTGGGACAAAGGGTTCCAGCCGTATGCTAAAGCTATATAAGGCAGGGAGTGACATCGTCTGTTGTTCATTCCCCATACAAGAGGACTCCTGAAAACACCTGAGGAACAAAGACTGAACTGGAGGAAGAGCTGGACCCAGGCTAAAGGGATTTCTAGCTTGCGTATGGAACCCTGGGAAACCCAAATTGCAAAGCAAATGCAGCTTGTGCCTTAAGAATCTGCAAGCCTGCTTGTATCAACAGTCGGGGTGAGATTGTTAATTCGAATCCTATCCTTCTAGTATGTTAAGCTTAGTTTGAGATTTTGTTTATTTACTAGGTAATCTGCTTTGATCTGTTTGCTATCACTTATAATCACTTAAAATCTATCATTTTGTAGTTAATGAATTTATTTTATGTTTTAATCTAAACCAGTAGGTTTGGAGTGAAGTGTTTGGGAATCTTAGCTCAAGGGGCAGGGGCTGTTGCATTTCTTCTCCACATCGGGGTGTGTGTGTGTGTGTGAACTCTATGAGTTTACGCTGTACAGTATACTGTGCAGCGCAAGACGGTATAATTTTGGGTTTATACTCCAGTGGGGTGGTGCATGCCTGGGGGCTGGGGGTAAGCTTGGCTGTAGTCTCTCTATTGTTGGTTCACAGAGTGGCTGGTCAGAGAGCCTGCATGTAACTGCACCTTGGCATGTCCCTACCTGTGTGAGTGCTGGTGGCAGTGTAGGACTGGGAGTGGGTCTGCAGCTTGTCACAGCAGCACAGTGTGAGAGAGAGCCCAGGCCGCTGAATCAGAGGGCTCAGTGGTACCCCAGTTCCAGGTGGCACCCTGAGGGGTACCCACCACAGATTACACCACAGTATGTGATCTGGGTGTATATGCATCCACACACACATTCATACAAGTGTGTATATAAATATATATACACAATTGTCTGATGCACTGGTCAATATACTGCACATTATTGTCAAAAGATTCATATGTATCATTTGAAAGACTGCAAATACAAATTCAAAGATAACAATGACATAACAAAGTAATCTTTCTAACTAACCTTGTTCAATAAAGTAGGTACCAATAAGTTATTTTCTAAAACATCTTGGTTACATTCTTTCAAGAGTTTAAAAAAAAAGTTGAGTTTCTTAATTGCCATCAAACTGAATCACTAGAGGATCACCAAAGAAGTAATTTTAAAACATCCAAACCTGCATTATCCTTTAGATTTACACATAGTCCAGATGCTATAAGAGTTTTCACTAAAGATAAATCTCCTTTTTTAGCAGCCAGGTGCAGGCGACTTTCCCCTTTGGCATTTCTTTTTTTTATCCCAGCTCTTATAATATAGGTAGACTGAGCAGATACAGCTGCTACCTCTTCTTTGCTTGATAGTGAAGATTCTAAAGACATATTGAACACCACAATTTCTCATTAGAAAACTGAGCCAAGCTTCTGATCTCACTTCAAACAGCATACCTCTATGCAATTCTATTGTCTTAATTATTATTACTTGACAGCACCAAAAATATAATACAGATCGAGTACACCTGGATTGTGGTCCAAAGAGTTTACAATCCACTACCAGACAACTTGCAATAAGGATGCAACTGGGTCAAGATGGAGGGAGACGATTACATAGTTATTCAGCACAACTACGTGGTATAGCAACAAGAAGGTCAGCATATTTCTTCACAGACTTCTTCTCAGTTACCAGGAATGACTTCAGAAGATATTACTACTTGCTGGGACTTCATCTCCTCTAGACAGAAATGGGAGGAAGCTGCATAGGGTTAGGTACTGAGAGGAGGAGCAACTGACAGTTTCTCCTGATAACACTGTGTGATGGTCTATACTATTATGTTCACCACTTTTACAAGACTATGATAATCTGCTGAACATTGTCCTGGTAAAGTATGTGTATTAACATTGTATGTAAAGTTTTAATTTTCTACTGCAGAACATTGCTGTAACATGTTTCAGAGTTAGATAGGCAGGCCCAAACTTTTCAGCAACAAAGACACAATATTCAGTAGCATCCCCAGCCAGGTATCAGCATAATCAATTGGACAATCGCCTAATTAAATGGCCATTCCTTGGCAGGAAAAAGGGTGTGAGCCAGGACTTTACATATTGGCAAAAACACAGTGGGGGAGTTTCTGTGTAAACAGTTTGCCTGTCACCTGAACCCCAGCTGGAGATAAACATAAAAAAGGAGAGAACTAAGGGTATAAGAATGGAGGACACAAACAACACAAATTACCTCTCTCATCCCCATCTCTACTTATGACTGCTACAATGCTTGGAAGACAAAGAAAGCATCATTGAACTGGGGGAGAGGTGGTTCTGGCTGGAAGGCTTTTCAGCCAATACAGACTGCTATAAACATGGGGTGAGACAAAACCTTTTTGCTTTTAAGTTCACTTGGTTTGTTAAATTAAGTATTAGCTTGCGTTTTCCTCTTCTATTTCTTTTGTAACCAATCCTTTTATGCACCATTGCTTGTAATCACTTAAAATCTATCTTTCTATAGTTAATAGACATATCTTATTGTTGTATCTTAACCAGTGTGTCTGGATTAAAGTGTGCGGGGAAACTCCATTTGAGATAAGAAGGTTGGTGCATATCATTTTCCACTGATGAAATGACATACTTTATAGTGTAGTGTACTGAGCAGTACAAGGCACACGTTTCTGGGGGACAAGACTGGGATTAGGAATCTGCTGTATTCTTCTGCAGTGTAATTTACGAGGGGCTAACTAGTAGCACTCAATACTGTGCAGCTGGGAGCAAGTTACATGCTGGAGGCTGTGTGTTAACTGGTCAGGAGTGGCTGTTCACCAGTAAATCAGTGTAAAAGGCATCCTATAGAGAACTGAGGAAAGACAGCTATTCAGCAGTCTAGATTGTACCTTGGGGAATGACACACTTCGCTGTCAGACAATGAAACCAGGCATAGGTATGTCACCAAAACTAAAGCCATCTGCTTGAAATTTCTCATATGTGGTCCTTGGTCAAAGGATTTCACATTCTATAAAGACAGGTTTCAGAGTAACAGCCGTGTTAGTCTGTATTCGCAAAAAGAAAAGGAGTACTTGTGGCACCTTAGAGACTAACCAATTTATTTGAGCATAAGCTTTCGTGAGCTACAGCTCACTTCATCGGATGCATACTGTGGAAAGTGTAGAAGATCTTTTATACACACAAAGCATGAAAAAATACCTCCCCCCACCCCACTCTTCTGCTGGCAATAGCTTATCTAAAGTGATCACTCTCCTTACAATGTGTATGATAATCAAGTTGGGCCATTTTCAGCACAAATCCAGGTTTTCTCACCCCCCTGCCCCACACACACACACAAACCCACTCTCCTGCTGGTAATAGCTTATCTAAAGTGACCACTCTCCTTACAATGTGTATGATAATCAAGGTGGGCCATTTGTTAAACCCTGGATCTGTGCTGGAAATGACACAAATGAAGTGAGCTGTAGCTCATGAAAGCTTATGCTCAAATAAATTGGTTAGTCTCTAAGGTGCCACAAGTACTCCTTTTCTTTTTTTAAAAGAATCCAAGTGTTCCTGTTAAGTATCAAAAAGAAAAGGAGTGGCACCTTAGAGACTAACCAATTTATTTGAGCATAAGCTTTCGTGAGCTACGTGTTAGTCTCTAAGGTGCCACAAGTACTCCTTTACTTTCAGTTACACCACTGTAAACCTGGAATAACTTCACTGAAGTCAAGGAAATTATTATAAATTTACATTTACAATGTACTCTAACCTGTTTAAAAAGATGCTTTTCTGATCATACAAATCCAGGGCATAATACACTAAAAGAATCCAGGTTTCAGAGTAACAGCCGTGTTAGTCTGTATTCGCAAAAAGAAAAGGAGTACTTGTGGCACCTTAGAGACTAACCAATTTATTTGAGCATAAGCTTTCGTGAGCTACAGCTCACTTCATCGGATGCATTCAGTGGAAAATACAGTGGGGAGATTTATATACACAGAGAACATGAAACAAGCTATTAGCTATTATCAGCAGGAGAGTGGGGTGGGAGGAGGTATTGTTTCATGGTCTCTGTGTATATAATGTCTTCTGCAGTTTCCACAGTATGCATCCGATGAAGTGAGCTGATGCTCACGAAAGCTCATGCTCAAATAAATTGGTTAGTCTCTAAGGTGCCACAAGTACTCCTTTTCTTTTAACATGAAACAATGGGTGTTACCATACACACTGTAACAAGCTCACTTGGTAACACCCATTGTTTCATGTTCTCTATGTATATAAATCTCCCCACTGTATTTTCCACTGAATACATCCGATGAAGTGAGCTGTAGCTCAAGAAAGCTTATGCTCAAATAAATTGGTTAGTCTCTAAGGTGCCACAAGTACTCCTTTTTTTTTGCGAATACAGACTAACACGGCTGTTACTCTGAAACCTGGATTCTTTTAGTGTATTATGCCCTGGATTTGTATGATCAGAAAAGCATCTTTTTAAACAGGTTAGAGTACATTGTAAATGTAAATTTATAATAATTTCCTTGACTTCAGTGAAGTTATTCCAGATTTACAGTGGTGTAACTGAAAGTAAAGGAGTACTTGTGGCACCTTAGAGACTAACACGTAGCTCAAGAAAGCTTATGCTCAAATAAATTGGTTAGTCTCTAAGGTGCCACAAATACTCCTTTTCTTTTTGCAAATACAGACTAACACGGCTGTTACTCTGTAACTGAAAGGAAAATTCGATACATTGTCTTTACATGCTATAATAGTAGTAAGAAACACACAGATTTCACTTTGTGCAAATTATAGTATACCTTTCATACTATGTATAGTGATGGAGAAAACATATTCCATTTGAATAGGAAGTAAAACCTACATTATAGAATTACAGGACTGGAAGGGACCTCGAGAGGTGATCTACTCCAGTCCATAGACTCATGGCAGGGCTAAGTATTATCTAGACCATCCCTGACAGGTCTTTGTCTAACCTGCTCTTAAAAATCTCCAGTGATGGAGATTCCACCACCTCCCTAGGCAATTTATTCCAGTGCTTAACCAGCCTGACAGTTAGGAAGTTTTTCCTAATGTCCAACCTAAACCTCCTTTCCAAGCTCTCCAGAAAATAAGCTTTGCCCATCTGAGATGCGAAAATTAGATGTCAATCACAGTAGATTTTGAAGAGGTTCAAACTATGGCGATGTTTACTCTGCTGGGCTCCTTGGCTTTGGCTCCCTCTACATGGGGTCCAACTAGATGCAGAGGCTCTGCTGATCCCTTCAATTTTTGCTTCTCCTCAGTAAATCCTCAGTTCCCTGCATTCCTAGAGATAGCCTCCTCCTTGATAGAGGAAAAAAAATAAGTGGTATTCTCTCAAGTGCCACCTGATCATGGTGCCAAAATGAGCTGTAACTCACAGCAGATTAGCAATATTGACATTTAAATGATCATTCTAAGTATCTGAGTTAACACCCATTAGAGATGGATAGGGGCAATACACACATCTCCCTGCGCTATTGTTTCTCACTCTTTGCAAACTCAGGTACATATCATTGTATCAGCTGAACTTGATTCACATTATCTTTGCAGCCTTAAAGGCTAGGGAATTACTTTTTCATAATGAAAGCTGAGATTCTGGAGCACACAATGGCAGCTTGTATCATCATGTACCCCTTCAACTCAACCCTTTGTTTTCTTTGAGATAATGTACTGTATTTTAGCCTAAAAGCTTCTGGCTCTGAAATCCCAAATCAATCATCTGTTCTCCAGTTCCTGCTTCTTCCTTAAACTCCTGGGACTGGAGGATGTCCAAGGGAGTCTTTAGAGAGGTAGACAAAGAAACCCAACAACAGCCCATTAAGCTAATGACTCTTAGCAACTGGCTGCAAATGAACACAAATAATAGCAAAGTTTTACAGTGCAGTTGTCACGCACAACAGTCTTCTTTATGTTTGCTAAAAAAACATTTGCAGCAGCACAATGAGGAACTGTTAGATTACTCTAAAGAACAATGATTCTCTCTGGAGTGCATCCTCAGGTGGGTTGTGGGTGGGAAAGGACAGGAACTTGGCAAATACAGCATCCAATTTGTTGCATGATTTTTTGGTTTGTTTTTTATGTAAATTTTTTTGTGTGTGACTCAGTATTAAAATCCTATCAAACATAAAAAGCAGATTTAAAAATCAAAAATGCAACTGGGTGGTATCCATACTTTAAACAAATATTCAAAACCTCAGCACTGACCTGTTAACTGTTTAGTGAGAAACATGTGACTTTTGTGACAGACCAAACTATAGGAAGAGAGTTTAGCAATTTTCACCTAATTCTATGTAAGCCAAAAAGGAATGGGAAGGGCCTAATGAGTGATGTACTATAGATGGGTGAAGAGGATACTCATACTGACCACTGCATATATGACAATGTAGGAAGAACAAGTTTCTGTTCAGGAACAGAAAGGGTCAGAAAGTCCACGGGGGTGTGGAAGAGATAAGGTAAGGAAAAAAATAGCCATCCATGATGGACAACAAAGTTGATGAATGAGGAAGAAGAGCAAGCCAAGAAACATCAGCTCTCGTCCCCTAACGCCCCTACTCTACTTGCGCTATATTGATGACATCTTCATCATCTGGACCCATGGAAAAGAAGCCCTTGAGGAATTCCACCATGATTTCAACAATTTCCATCCCACCATCAACCTCAGCCTGGTCCAGTCCACACAAGAGATCCACTTCCTGGACACTACAGTGCTAATAAACGATGGTCACATAAACACCACCCTATACGGGAAACCTACTGACTGCTATTCCTACCTACATGCCTCCAGCTTTCACCCTGACCACACCACACGATCCATTATCTACAGCCAAGCTCTGTGATACAACCGCATTTGCTCCAACCCCTCAGACAGAGACAAACACCTATAAGATCTCTATCAAGCATTCTTACAACTACAATACCCACCTGCAGAAGTGAAGAAACAGACTGATAGAGCCAGAAGAGTTCCCAGAAGTCACCTACTTCAGGACAGGCCTAACAAAGAAAATAACAGAACGCCACTAGCCGTCACCTTCAGCCCCCAACTAAAACCCCTCCAACGCATTATTAAAGATCTACAACCTATCCTGAAGAATGACCCAACACTCTCACAAATCCTGGGAGACAGGCCAGTCCTTGCCTACAGACAGCCCCCCAACCTGAAGCAAATACTCACCAGCAACCACATACCACACAACAGAACCACTAACCCAGGAACCTGTCCTTGCAACAAAGCCCGTTGCCAACTGTGCCCACATATCTATTCAGGGGACACCATCACAGGGCCTAATAACATCAGCCACACTATCAGAGGCTTGTTCACCTGCACATCTACCAATGTGATATATGCCATCATGTGCCAGCAATGCCCCTCTGCCATGTACATTGGTCAAACTGGACAGTCTCTATGTAAAAGAATAAATGGACACAAATCAGACGTCAAGAATTATAACATTTATAAACCAGTCGGAGAACACTTCAATCTCTCTGGTCACGCGATTACAGACATGAAAGTTGCAATTCTTCAAAAAAAACCTTCAAATCCAGACTCCAGCGAGAAACTGTTGAATTGGAATTCATTTGCAAATTGGATACAATTAACTTAGGCTTGAATAGAGACTGGGAGTGGCTAAGTCATTATGCAAGGTAACCTATTTCCCCTTGTTTTTTGCTAACCAAGACGTTCTTGTTAAACCCTGGATTTGTGCTGGAAATGGCCCACCTTGATCATCATACACATTGTAAGGAGAGTGGTCACTTTAGATAAGCTATTACCAGCAGGAGAGTGGGTTTGTGTGTGGGGGGGAGGGGGAGGAGAAAACCTGGATTTGGGCTGGAAATGGCCCAACTTAATTATCATTCACATTGTAAGGAGAGTGATCACTTTAGATAAGCTATTGCCAGCAGGAGAGTGGGGTGGGGGGAGGTATTTTTTCATGCTTTGTGTGTATAAAAGATCTACACTTTCCACAGTATGCATCCGATGAAGTGAGCTGTAGCTCACGAAAGCTTATGCTCAAATAAACTGGTTAGTCTCTAAGGTGCCACAAGTACTCCTTTTCTTTTTGCGAATACAGACTAACACGGCTGTTACTCTGAAACCACCCATATATGTTCGTCCTTTTAGTGGTTCCCAATCTGCTTCTGCTGACAGCTGGAAGCCATGGTCCCAGTTTTCAGTGCCTTCAGCTACACCAGTGATGGCATCTCCTTCCCTGATTCATCAAAACAGCTGCTTTCCTATGGGGCCGTGCAGCTAAAAAAATGCTGGATGAATAAAATGTTTTCTGGAGATAGTATCCTCAACTGGGCATGGCGGGGGGGCGGGGAGGAGAGAGAGAGAGAGAAAGAGCTGAGCTGTGAAACGATCTTCCAAAGGAGATTACACTGCAAGATACATGGTTTTGATAAAGTTTTCCCACTACAACTGGAAATACAGAATGGGAGAACAAAATAATATGCATACAAGTATATACACATACATATCTCATTATACAGATCAAACAGAAGTGGCAAACAGGGGTTTTGGAAGGAGTTTGGTGAAAGTAGTGTGAGAAGCTTTCTCGCTAGGTACAGTTCTACATTCGTTACTGTGATGGCCAGTGATGGAACAGTTACTGTGATCTGGAGTGGATGTGCCATGTCTTCTTTCCTGCCTAAAGACAAAAGGGACTTCCTGTGTATAAAGAGCAAGTTTATGGCTGTGATGAAGGAAAGGATTAATGGTTTGAAGAATAAGTACTGACACTGCAGAGCATCAGAGAAGCTGAGGAGTACTTGGGGAACCAGATTCAGGAAGTGTCACCATCCCAGATTCAAGAAAGAAAGGAACTGGTAATCAAGGAATCAATGAGAGTGGAAATCAGAAAGGAGGACTGGCAGTTTGTAACCACCAGAGTCAAGAGGATCAGGCAGCATTCTACACAGCTGGAGGTGGATGGGGAGGAGTAGGCTGTGAACACCAGAGAGAAGAGGACATAGTATACGCATACAGCTGTTATGTTCTCAGCCTAAAAGCTGCAGAACACCACTGTGGCTATCCAGGTGGTCAAATGGAATGGAGAGCTGAACAGGACACAATTGCTGCTCAGCCCAACCTGCAAGACCATCAAGTGTGCCCACAAAGAGATCTTCAACCATCCAAAGAAGACAGATGAATCCTTGTACGAGATTCTACACTAGACCTGTGCTAGCTCAGCTGGCATGCAGTGTCTGTACTTGTCTACATGACACTACTGTAAATGTAGACAAACCCTTTAAGTCAGCTCTTTTCCCTGTAAAGAAGTAAGTACCAACGCAGAGAAAAAGTGCTTGAAACTTTGTTCGTTCTTGTAACTTTGTCAGTAAAAATATTTATCTTTTAAGTGCTTACTCTCCAATAGCTCCATAATAACTATCAATACATTTAGAAGCCCTGGCAGTGGTTCACACACTTGGCATTTGTTGGACAGGACATATGCTTCATGCACTATGCTTATTTTTCTAAATCACTTACTATAAATTACCAAAAGTCTCCTTCTTATAAATCTTGAAAAATAAACATATCTTTATAAAATATTAACAACTCACCTGATTTCTCAGGCATTTCCTGTTCTGCTGCTTGACTGAATTGTGATAGATTAGATGAATTACTGTTATTGGCACATAAATCTGTATTTTGGCTGGTCTCCTGAAGGTCTTGTCTTATTCTTTCAGTTTGGATTGTTTCTGTTTCAAGTAATTGTAACATTATAGGAGTATTGTTCTTTGCAGTTCCTTCTGCTTCATTTTTCTCAGTGCAACATCTTCCAGTGCTTTGCTCTCCACTTCTCTCAGCAGTCATTCCATCATCTGTTTGTTGAACAAAAGGACTTAAAATATCTGTGCTATGACTCTCATGACTTTCAGAAACATTAGCTCTATTAACTGATAGATGAAAATTAATGTCAAAGTGTTTATGTAGCATAGGCGAAGTACTTCTACGATATAATTATCAAAACCTTTGGAAATATTTTTGCATTATAAACATTTTGTTCACCATTCACTATACAATGAAAATTGTAAACATTGAATCAATAAGGATTCAAAATTTCTTCTGTGAAAATGTGGTGTTTTAGTCTGGTTTCTCTTTAAAGAAAAATTCTTTAGCAAAGTTAGAGTGCTTAAGAATATCTTCATTTTCATTACTTTAGTCAATATCAATATTACAGTTATATTTTGATAGTAACAAAATAACTACCAGGGGTTCGGCTGCAAAAATGACCAATCAATTAATTTTGCATATCTGGCAATATTTCTGGAATGCAATTCATACATTTACCATTTGTGTATGCTACTGTATATGCTGCATATATTGTGCTGCTCTAAAAAAATCTATAACAAACTACAACATGCCTACAGAGAATTCCTAAAATAATTTTTTTAAAAATAAAACTTTTCACCTGATTTTTGGGAAGTTTCCTGCTCTGTTTCTTGGGTCAGCTGAGATGGATGAAGTGAATTCTTGTTCATACAACTAGTGGAATACAAATCTGTGTCTAAGATGATTTCCTGAAGGTCCTGCCTCTTTCTTTTCACTCGAAATGCTTCTTTTTCATGTAGCTGTAAAGCTGTAGATGTGTTAATCTCTGAATTCATTTCATCTTCAATTTTCTCAGTGCAACATCTTCCAGTGCTTTCTTCTGCACTTAGCATCATCCTCATTCCGTCATCCGTTTGATGAGCAAAAGGCATTAGCACACTGATGCTAAAATTCTCAGGACTTTCAGAATCACTAGCTCTATTAACAGCTGCTGAAAATTCATGCAATGAAAGTATTTCTGTACTTGTCTGAAGTGTTTGTACAGTACACTTATCTACATCTTTAGAGATATTTTTATAAATGTTTTGATTCTCATTTTCAATATACTGTTCAGATAGGACTGTAGAGTCTGAATCAGTGAGGTTTACAGTTCCCTTTGGTGAAAATGTAGTTACGCTTCCTGATTCTAGCCAGTTTCCCTGTAAAGAAATATCTTCAAAAAGAGGTAAGGAGTGTTTTAAACTTTGTTCCTCATCATTAATTCTGTCTCTATCAATATCAAAGTTAATTTGATCTCTGAAGTTTTCAGAATAAAGAAACTGGTCTGACGGTCTATTATTCTCAGTGTAAATCATGTTTTCTTCAACGAAGTGGATACTACTTTTTCTCTTAGCTGTATTCAGATTCTTGTCACCCATGCTACCATCTTTATTGTGGTTAAGATAATGGCATTCATTATCCTGATTCATAAAACATTGCTCTGCAGTCACAAGAGGAACACTAATTTCTTCACACAAAGAAAGTACTGAGTGAGAATCAAGTTCCGTTAACTCAACATTCTCAGACTGCTCTGTAGATGCTTTTACTAGAGGAATTGAGGATTCAGTGCATGGTAAACTAATTACCTGGTCTGTCATTATTATTGAAGGTTTGTTGTTGCTTCCACAAGTCTTCTCCCTTTCTTCTGAAACTGGAGTATCACTATTACAGAAGTCATATTCCTTTTGCATTTCTGTCTGTTTGGGTATGCTGGGCTTTCCCCCTACTTCACAAATGTTATCTGAACTATCATTACGATGTACAGAGGACCTAGTTATTCTTTTTGAGGAAGAGGTATTAACAGTGAACCCAGTGTTATTATGTCCAACATGAGGATCATATGTTTTGTGGCTTCTGCTTCTTGTTTTGTCTCTAGATGTATCTGAAGGAAATACAATTGTCCTGTACTCACTGATATTCTTGATGGATACAATCTTTTCTACAGTCCCTGCTGATTTCTTTGTCTGTGTTGGAACCAGTCTTCTATCTTTTGAGTTTTTTTCATTCAACAATCTATGATCCTCAAATACTCTGGAGATGGAACCTTTGGAGTTTCTTATTGAATTCTCTTTGCTACTTTGTTCAAAGTTGATAAACCCTTGCTTTGATGTATTATTATTACCAACATCTGAATTGTGAACTGGGCTATCTGAATGTACTTCCAACTGCAAAAAACAAAACACATGATTAATTTAATTTTCTGGTAGATTGCTTTGTTATATTTCATTCTAGGTTGCTGCTTCAACTGTATAGTCAACGCTACAAGTCACAAAATATGGTAGACCTCAACTGGACTTGTCTTAGTGATTATTTCACATCTGGTGATCTGCCTGGAGCAGAAACACAACAAAAACTTAACTAAATGTTGAAAGCATCAATCACACGATCGATAATATGTTTTCCAAATAAAGGGTCTATTTTTGTGTTTATGGTACTCTGTTTGGTGAATGCTTATCATCAATAAAATATAAAACAGTGTTTTAGGATGTAAGTTAAAAATAGAAAAAATGAAAACACTTATATTCCAATACAGCATTTCTGAGAATGATAGTCTCTACCAAGGTAAATTACACAGACATTTACCATAACACTTAAAATTATAGCAAGTAAGAAAAAAGGTCTTTCCACACCGCATCATATGCTACGGATATTATTAGTTATGAAATGTTTAGTATGTACTGGTTTCAGAGTAGCAGCCGTGTTAGTCTGTATTCAGAACCATCTGATCAACATCCTCTACAGCAAACAGGGAGAGATAAAGGAATGCATCCGATGAAGTGAGCTGTAGCTCACAAAAGCTTATGCTCAAATACATTGTTAGTCTCTAAGTTCCTCCTTTTCTTCTTAGTATGTACTGTTTCTCAAGAGCACTTCAGAAATGCGCTACCTTTCTATTATACTTTATTGTAGAATAGCAGATGCATGACAGTTCATCACCAAATGACAATGGTTGTTCCTTAAAAAAAAAAAAAAAAAAAAAAAAAGTTACCTGATGCTGGTTTGTGTCATTTATGCTTTGAGCATTTAATGTACTCTCTACATCCTTTTTAGCTGAAAGTAAAACGAGAGATTGAAAGGCTCAATATCAAAAGAAAGTTACAATCCTCTGCTTTACAAGCACAGCATCCTGTGCTCAGAGTCTAGCTTGCAGTGAAACCTAACAGCCATTTGCTATCTGGAAACAACAAAAAAACATAAGGATCAAAAAAGTTAGACATTAAAATCATGGGCTCAGATCTCCAGTTGCACCAGAAGTCTGCTTGGTACAGTTGAGAAGCAGTAAATGTGGCTTTAAGCATCCTGATTCCTGAGGAGGTTGGTAGTCTGCCCGGCCCACGAGGCTTCTCTAAGTTACACAGGCTGTACTGGCCCTTTAGAGGCCATTCTGAAGCCAGTGATAGCTGGCTCACAAGTTGCTCAAATCAGGTCCCTTCCACCCCAGCATGCTTTGTACACTGGGCAAAGGAAGGTAACGGGATGGTGTAAAAGCCAACTCATCAGCTCAACACATGCCAGGGATTGCCCCCTGAATCAGTTTCGTTCCTGGCTGGTTGTTTAAATTAGCTTTCTGTCCACCCCTTTGTGTTGCCAGAGTGGCATAAGTGCGCTGGAATAGGGGCCAAGCTCTGGTTCTAGATATTTATGTAAATAAATTAGGCACTAAAATCATAGCATATAACCACTGTGATCTTACATTCCAGTATTTATAGCTTCATCAACAGTTAAAAACACTCTTTTTAGAGCTGGGAGCTTCCTCCTAAGGCATACGTAAAGTTAATCAGGAGAGGAATAAAAGACATACATTCACCTTCTGTCAGTTACTAATTAGTCGTACAACAGGACAGAAAAATGTAAAGAATAAATTATTTATACAGAAAACATGGCGAGTATAAAAATTCTTATGTGTGACTACCTGATTGGCTATGAAACTGGTTTCAATAAAGTTCAAGTGACTGAAGAATTTTCATGGTGACAACCATGTCTCCATAGCCCACAAGCATCATGAAACTTTGCACTAAGATATCCTATGCTGAAACTCAATACCTGACTGACACACAGAATGAGAGGTTACTCACCTTGTGCAGTAACTGGAGTTCTTCAAGATGTGCGTCCCTATGGGTGCTCCACTTCAGATGTGGTTGCACTCCATGAGTCTTAGAGCTGAGATTTTCTGTAGCAGTGCCTGTTCAGCCCACACATGTGCTCCAGATATCCTCATGCCCTATACCAAGGATATATAGAGTTGCATGGGCAAAACGGCCTCAGTTCCTTCTCTGCCACGAAGTCCTATAAGACAAAACTCCAAAGCAGAGGGGAGGGAGGGTGCGTAGTAGAGCACCTATAGGGACACACATCTCAAAGAATTCCAGTTACTGCATATGACAGAATACATTCCTGTATTCAAGGAATTCAAGGCTGTATTTCAAGGAATCCCTGTTGAGGTTACAGGGACAAACCATCCCGATGTGTCGAAAGAATAGTAAATATGGCAGACGACCAGCTTGGCTTAACGGTGAAATCCTAGCGGATCTTAAACATAAAAAAGAAGCTTACAAGAAGTGGAAGGTTGGACATATGACCAGGGAAGAGTATAAACATATTGCTCGGGCATGTAGGAATGAAATCAGGAGGGCCAAATCGCACCTGGACCTGCAGCTAGCGAGAGATGTTAAGAGTAACAAGAAGGGTTTCTTCAGGTATGTTGGCAACAAGAAGAAAGCCAAGGAAAGCGTGGGACCCTTAATGAATGAGGGAGGCAACCCAGTGACAGAGGATGTGGAAAAAGCTAATGTACTCAATGCTTTTTTTGCCTCTGTCTTCACTAACAAGGTCAGCTCCCAGACTGCTGCGCTGGGCATCACAACATGGGGAATAGATGGCCAGCCCTCTGTGGAGAAAGAGGTGGTTAGGGACTATTTAGAAAAGCTGGACGTGCACAAGTCCATGGGGCCGGACGAGTTGCATCCGAGAGTGCTAAAGGAACTGGCGGCTGTGATTGCAGAGCCATTGGCCATTATCTTTGAAAACTCGGGGCGAACGGGGGAAGTCCCGGATGACTGGAAAAAGGTTAATGTAGTGCCAATCTTTAAAAAAGGGAAGAAGGAGGATCCTGGGAACTACAGGCCAGTCAGCCTCACTTCAGTCCCCGGAAAAATCATGGAGCAGGTCCTCAAAGAATCAATCCTGAAGCACTTACATGAGAGGAAAGTGATCAGGAACAGTCAGCATGGATTCACCAAGGGAAGGTCATGCCTGACTAATCTAATCACCTTCTATGATGAGATTACTGGTTCTGTGGATGAAGGGAAAGCAGTGGATGTATTGTATCTTGACTTTAGCAAAGCTTTTGACACGGTCTCCCACAGTATTCTTGTCAGCAAGTTAAAGAAGTACGGGCTGGATGAATGCACTATAAGGTGGGTAGAAAGTTGGCTAGATTGTCGGGCTCAACGGGTAGTGATCAATGGCTCCATGTCTAGTTGGCAGCCGGTGTCAAGTGGAGTGCTCCAGGGGTCGGTCCTGGGGCCGGTTTTGTTCAATATCTTCATAAATGATCTGGAGGATGGTGTGGATTGCACTCTCAGCAAATTTGCAGATGATACTAAACTGGGAGGAGTGGTAGATATGCTGGAGGGCAGGGATAGGATACAGAGGGACCTAGACAAACTGGAGGATTGGGCCAAAAGAAATCTGATGAGGTTCAATAAGGATAAGTGCAGCGTCCTGCACTTAGGACGGAAGAACCCAATGCACAGCTACAGACTAGGGACCGAATGGCTAGGCAGCAGTTCTGCGGAAAAGGACCTAGGGGTGACAGTGGACGAGAAGCTGGATATGAGTCAGCAGTGTGCCCTTGTTGCCAAGAAGGCCAATGGCATTTTGGGATGTATAAGTAGGGGTATAGCGAGCAGATCGAGGGACATGATCGTCCCCCTCTATTCGACATTGGTGAGGCCTCATCTGGAGTACTGTGTCCAGTTTTGGGCCCCACACTACAAGAAGGATGTGGATAAATTGGAAAGAGTCCAGCGAAGAGCAACAAAAGTGATTAGGGGACTGTAACACATGACTTATGAGGAGAAACTGAGGGAACTGGGATTGTTTAGTCTGCAGAAGAGAAGAATGAGGGGGGATTTGATAGCTGCTTTCAACTACCTGAGAGGTGGTTCCAGAGAGGATGGTTCTAGACTATTCTCAGTGGTGGAAGAGGACAGGACAAGGAGTAATGGTCTCAAGTTGCAGTGGGGGAGGTTTAGGTTGGATATTAGGAAATACTTTTTCACTAGGAGGGTGGTGAAACACTGGAATGCGTTGCCTAGGGAGGTGGTGGAATCTCCTTCCTTAGAAGTTTTTAAGGTCAGGCTTGACAAAGCCCTGGCTGGGATGATTTAGTCGGGGATTGGTCCTGCTTTTGGGCGGGGGGTTGGACTGGATGGCCTCCTGAGGTCCCTTCCAACCCTGATGTTCTATGATTCTATGATTCACACCCTACACACTATTGTAATAATCTTTGTACAAAGTACAAAGCTGCCTTGTAAGGTATCATCTGAAAAACCTGTAATTTACTGGTTAGTATTGTCCTGGTAAAATATGTGCAGTAACATTGTATGTGAAGTTATAAGGTTCTCCTGTATGGTGTTATTAACACATGTTCCAAACCCCACAGCTCTGCTCAACAGATGGCTGACAAACAGGTCTGTCCTAAACAAAGAAATGTGTGCTCTGCTTAATTTGCATTTAAGCAATAAACAGAGTCATCAAGCAGGAAGGAAAGACAAAGGAAGTTCAAAAAGGTGGGGAAAAAAACAGCAGGGAACATCCTTCCACATAGATTCTTTGTCTCCTAGTGTCCAGCTGGAAATGTTTTTCAAGAGGGGGACTGAAACTAATAAAAGGGACAAACATCCCAACACATCCCTCTCTCTTTCTCCCTGCGCATCACATTCATTACACATGAAGATAAAAAGGAAGCAGATGCTGGACTCTGGGAGAAGGTCCTGACCTGAAACTTTTGGCCATAATCTGGTGAAGCATATGGTAAGAAACTTTGCTTGAATCTAATATAGTTTGCTAAGTTAGGCATTAGTAAACATCTTATCTTTATTTTTCTTGTAAGCATTTCTGACTTTTATGCCTCATTACTTGTACTCACTTAAAATCTCTCTTTGTAGTTCTGGAGTCAGAGTCAAGCCACGGGTCAAAACTGAAAACAGCATCAGCTACCAAGCCAAAGGTCAGAGCTGGAGACAGCAAAGGAAGTTAATGCGGAGAAGCAAGAACGTGGCTTAGGGCAGAACAGCAGGAACTGGGAATAGATGGGAATCTGGCACAGGAACTAGGAGCAGGCAGGGAAGCAGGGCTCAGGAGTCAGATAAGCAAAAGGGGTCCATAGTAGCAGCCAGCCAGGGATTCCTCAAGTTGCTTGGACAACTTCCTGTTGACTCTTCCTGCTTTATATAGAGTACCTCAGCCAACTGGGGAGCTGGACGTTTCCCCCAATTGGGAGCTTTGGGGGCAGGGCCCTCTGTGAGCTAATTCCCTGGTTAGTTAGGTGAGCTGCTGGGTGGCAGTCATGGCCTGGACACTGCCTGGGGACCTGTGGGCCAGGGTTTGAGGCCTGTGATTCCCCTACAGGTTGATATGAAGGAGAGACTCTTGAGTTCCTGGCTTGTGGGTTGGCTGGAGCCTAGCACAGGAGTAACTCTACATCGTCATAGCCTGATAATTTGCCATTCTAAACTGGAGTGTCACAGAGGAGAAAGTTTTGTACCCAATGAGGTCAAGGCATCTATGTTGCTGTCTAGGGTTTTATTATTTTTGCGACCCTATTGGAGGGGAGGACGGATCTTCCAGTGAACATAAACAGTCTTTTCCAGAGGCCACCCTCTGCGTAGCTGGAGCGGCCTCTTGTAAGCAGAGAACCACAGCACCACGCTTTGTCTTCACAGTAAACATGCAATACCACTGAATGTGTGTGCTCACTGAAGTTTAACTGGACTTTCATTGTAACTCTACTCAGCAGAGGTGCCTTCCCCGGCATCACGGTTGGCCACCATGATGTCCTGCGACCCACAGGGCTCCATGGTTAAAAATATTTCCTGGCTCTCGGGGAGAATGGATCCACCACTTGCCTGTCTCCCATTCTCCTCCTCCTCCTCTTCCTCATCCACCATATCGTCCTTCTTGTTGTCCTTAGATTCATACATCTGTGAGGTGTCCACGTTGCTTGTGGGGGTGCTGGTAGGGTCACCCTTGAGAACTGCATGCAGCTCATTGCAGAACCTGCCTACGTGGGGTTCAGCACCAGAACGACTGTTCGCCTCCCATGCCTTCTGGTACGCTTGGTAAAGTTCTTTTATTTTCACACGGCACTGCTGTGTGTCCTTCATGTAGCCCTTCTCACCCATTCCACCAGCAATCTTTGCATAGATGTCAGCGTTTCTTCTTCTGGATTGGAACTCTGCCTGCACAGACTCTTCTCCCCACATAGCTATGAGATCCACCACCTCCTGTGAAGACCAGGCTGGAGCGCTTTTGGGGCGTGTAGTCTCCATGATCAGCTGTGCTCAAGCTGTGATCAAAGCTGTGATCAAACAGGAAATGGGAAATCAAAAATTCCTGGGGCGTTAGCAGGGCAGGGGCTGTTTCCTGTGTACCTGGCTGCAGTGCAGCAGAGTTGAGAATGATCTCCAGAGCAGTCACAGAAGAGCATTGTGGGACACCACCTGGAGGCCAATTAAGTCAAATTACACAACACTGCATCTGCACTACCTCACAGTCGACCCATGAAAATCAAATTAAGCACTACGCCTCTCGCAGAGGTGGGGTACAGAAGTCGACATTAGAGGCGACTCAGGTCAGTGTAAAGGACCTGATAATGTAGACACATACATTAACAGGTCGACGTAAGGTGGCTTCCTTCGATATAACTTTTTAGTGTAGACCAGGCCTCTGTGTCTAAGGTCTTTGCAATATGAGCAAAGGTCTCCTAAAAAGCCTTAAAACTGTCAACCCATGGGCAGAAGCTAGTTGAACTGTTGCATCAGGCAGTGACTATTATTCTTTTGGTGTTGACTGGGCATGCTAATGTTTTTCCTCTGCTCCTCCCAGCTCCTGGGTACCAATGCTGTGCTCTAGCGACAGTAAACAACGTCACCAGGGAGCCAGTTCTCCCCCTTTTCCTGGATCTGCAGGAAGGAGATCTACTACGGGACACTTGTAATGATAGTCCTCAGTAGGGCCAGCGTGCCTGGGTGGCACGTTGAATGAGTACTGGCCCAGTTGCAGCTGGCGAGCCCACTGCCATTCATGCCTCTGCTGGGTTGCTGCCTTGTGAGTGGGATCTCCAGAACCAGCCCTAGTGTTGCTCTCTTAGAGGAGAAGTGTTCTTGCTCAATGCCAGGGAGAAGGTGAGATGGTGACAAGGAGTCTTCAAACAGTACTCTTCAAACAGCAGTGCCATGGGTCAGTACTCTTGGCTCAGTGCCAGTCATCAGCCCCATGCCAGTGATGTCCCCAGACAGCATCTAGCTGTTTCCATGAGGGCATATCTCAGGCCCATAATCACCATGGTGTTCAGTGCTAGAAATTGAGTTTTGATCTCACTTTGGCAGAGGACTAAGACGCCCTGTCTCTGAAGGAGTGCTGTGTCTTCTCCTTCCAGGACAGCGATGTTTGATGCCCCCTTCACTCCACTCTACCTCTGTCAGTCTCACCCTTGTGTTGGGGCACCAATGCCAGTTCCAATAATGACATTGCCAGTGGCTGCGATTGGCGGTGCTAAATCATTGGTCCCAGTACTGGTAGAAACGTTGATGCTGATGTAGTGGCCGGTGCCAGTGCTTCCAGTGCCAAGATGCTTGGCATCAATGTACTTGGCACTGATTTTGAGGGCATTTTCTTTCCTGTTTTCCTGTAGCTGCTCAACTGCAGAGTATGTTGCCTGCCTGAGGGAGCAGTCACTGAAGATGATCCTTTTCATTCCTTAGAGGTAGTAGTTTCCTCTGGGTCTGAGGTGGTGCACATCGATAGCTCAAGTAGATGTAGCTTCAGCCATGAGGTCCTGTGATGGGGCAACTGGATGGGACTCCGCTTCAGTGCCAGGAAGTGTGCATTCCTGCATATCGATGGCAGTAGAAGGCACTCGGTCCAGGCGACACCGTTTCAGATCCAGGGTGAACCCGTGGTCTTCCTCAAGGACGGGCAAACATACCAACATCTCGGCATGCCAACGGTTTCTGCGTCAAGAAGACATCTAAGGATACCATCACGGAGATCCTACGAGATGTGGCCAGGATCGACTCCTCCCTACTGGCACCGTGGCAGAAGATCAACGTCTTGAACACCTTCCTAATCCCCTGTATTTCATTTGTCCTGAGGGGATCTGGCATGGCGAAGGTTCCTCTTAACAAGGCAGACAACACCATCCAGCAGCTGGTGAAAAAGTGGATTTTTCTTCCCCAGAGGGCCAGCAATGAACTGGTATACATCTCACACAGACAGAACGGTACCAGCGTCCCTCGAATGGGTAATCTGTGCGACGTTGCCGTGATCACTCATGGCTTCCACCTTCTGATGTGCCCGGACACCACGGTGAGGAACATCACGGAGAGTGCTCTGCAGGATGCCGTCAAGAGGTGAATCGCCAGGACCTCCTCCAATCAAGATGTCACCACCTATCTGAGCGGCTCCCTGGAAGGTGAATTTGGAAGAGACGGGGAAGACTTTGCTTTGCTCTGGACTCCTGCCCGCAGCACTACGTGATGACTGGAGAAGCGTATCGGCTGCCACTGGACGTGGTGCTAGGAATGCCAGGAGATGGTGTCACAGGTGAAGAACACAAAGCGCACCATCATCACTCCGAGAGCCAGAACCAAGCTGGAGAGGACCCTGAAGGATGCCATCTGCTGCCAATACGTGGAAAACCTGAAACGGAAGCCGGACCAGAGCAAGGCCTTTAAAGTGACGCGCAAGTGGGACACCAGCAACCACTTTCTCCCCGGGGGCATCTTCACCCAATTTGCCAACTGGAGGTTCATCCACTGGGCCTGGCTCAACTGTGTCCTGCTGAATGGAACCATCCGCCACAAGAATTGGGACAAGCAATGCTGGAAGTGTGGCTAGGCCAACGAGACACTACCCCACGTTTTGTGTAGCTGCAAGCCCCATTCCGGAGCTTGGCAGCTGCGACAAAACGTCATCCAAGATCGCCTGGTCAGAGCCATCTCACCACCTGTGGAAAAGGTAGCCGTGAACTCCGCCATCCCTGGAACCAACAGCCAACTGCGACCGGACATCGTCATCACCAACGAGGACCAGAACAAGATCATTATGGTGGATGTCACAGTGCCCTTCGAAAACGGGACCTCGGCTTTCCACAATGCCCGATCTTGAAAGATGGAGAAATACGCCCCTCTGGCCGACACCCTGAGAGCTAGGGGCTACGAGGTCCAAACTCACGCGCTGATCGTTGGCGCCCTGGGGACCCCGGTAACGAGCGAGTGCTGAGAGAATGTGGAGTTGGTTAACACTACGCTCAGCTGACACGGCAACTCATGGTGTCAGACGCTGTCAGGTGGTCAAGGGACATCTACATAGAACACATCACCGGACATCGGCAATACCAGGAGGAATGAGCTGGAGTGCCGATGAGAAGCACAGTTGGGAAAGTAACTCAAATACTTTCCTGATGGACTGTATTTTTCTCTAAATGGACAACCTATCCTAAATTCTCAATTACTGAGGGACAATCTTCACTCATTGATATATTTTGCTTTCCGCCACCAACTCTCTGTATAACTTTTTTCATGAGTAATGTACCCGAATGTATGGATGCTAAATATCTAAACTGTATTATTAAATTCATTCATCTAAATTTGGGTTATTGCTGATTATGCACTATATGTATTTTATGACTTTAAAAACAAATGTTGTATTTGTGGATAATCTAAACACTATACCCAGATGTACAGACACTCTTTTCTTAACCTTTGTATTATATAATTTTTTTAACATTAGCTTTCATAAAATTTTTAGTCTATATACTGTTCAAATATACACAAACGATACACAACTAAGATGCGCTCAGAGTTTATCACTGTATCATTTTATTTCATCTCATGCATGCATGTTAATGAAGACAACCAACTAGAGGACTCTGCTCCAAGTCTGCTAGTACAGTGGTTCTCGACCAGGGATACTCAGAGGTCTTCCAGGGGTACATCAACTCATCTAGATATTTGCCTAGTTTTACAACACGCGACATAAAATGCACTAGCGAAGTCAGTGAAAACTAAAATTTCACACAATGACTTGTTTATACTGCTCTATATACTATACACTGAAATGTAAGTACAATATTTATATTCCAATTGATTTCTTTTATAATTATATGGTAAAAATGAGAAAGTATGCAATTTTTTGGTAATAATGTGGTGTGATACTTTTGTATTTTTATGTCTGATTTTGTAAGCAAGTAGTTTTTAAGTGAGATGAACCTGGGGGGTACACAAGAGAAATCAGACTCCTAATAGGGGTACAGTACTCTGGAAAGGTTGAGAACCACTGTGCTAGTATATCAAGTGAGCAAAGCCCATAGAAGTGTTGGCTATAAGTAAGGGAATGTGACAATGGGATTTCTGTTGTTCTCTATCTAATAGTCACGAATATGCCAGAATAGATCATTCCTACCTGATGTTGAACCTCTTCTAGACTTAGTTATATAACTTTCAAGCAGCTTCTTCATACGCTGGTCAGTAGCTTCATCAAAGGCGCACCTCCCCTTCTCATTTTTGAATAACGGATCAGCTCCATACCAAAGCAGTAACTCTGCCACCTAGAGGTAAAACTTTTCAGATACTTTTTCTTTTTCTTCTAATATTTTATTTTCCACTCCTCTCTCCTCATATATGCTTCTCTGTGGTGTACACAGAAATACCTGTCGCTAGTGTTAAAATACCACTAGAGTTTTAAAATTCCCAGTAATGGAATTTACCAGTACCAAACATTCCTCTAAATACAAGTTTGTTCCAAACCCTTCCATTTGTTTTTTTCATTTTTGAAAGCTTGCTTCAGTGAATAACCAGCTGACTTTCTGAAATCAAGGTCCAATAATAGAGTTTCTTGTTAACATGGTGATTTCTTAAATTATTTTTAAAAGGTTAATGTTGTGAATAAAGTCATAAGAATTCTGTCCAGTTTTACTCATTATCCAATAAGTAGTGTAGAACAATTATATTTAAGTATTAGAAAATTTGTAACTTAATGATTTCCTTTCTGGGACTTACTCCTCCCTCCCTCACTTCAGCACTACTGGGGTTTTGTTTTTCTCTGCATATCGAAAAGGCAGTTTAATTCTCAGCCTAGGTCACACCTTCTTCTTCTAGTCACTAGGAGAGCACTTCCTAAATTCACAGTTTGCAGGTGATTCTATCACTGACCCAGTTCTTTCTCTGCCTTCCCTGTTCACCTAATGGTGAAGGAGAATTAAGATAAAGGAGCACTCAATCTGCAGTGAAACCCTCTCTAAAGCCACACATTAGGGGAATGCTGCCAAAGGTGCTGCCAACCTGCAGACCCTTACTCAGCCAGAAATGTAGAGAACTCTTAGGCTTTGTCTACACTGGCAAGTGAAAGACAAAACTTTTGTTGTTCAGGGGTGCCATAAATATAAAGGGAAGGGTAAACACCTTTAAAATCCCTCCTGGCCAGAGGAAAAATCCTCTCACCTGTAAAGGGTTAAGAAGCTAGGATAACCCCGCTGGCACCTGACCAAAATGACCAATGAGGAGACAAGATACTTTCAAAAGCTGGGAGGAGGGAGAAAAACAAAGGGTCTGTATCTGTCTGTGTGATGCTTTTGCCGGGGACAAAACAGGAATGGAGTCTTAGAACTTAGTAAGTAATCTAGCTAGATATGCGTTAGATTATGATTTCTTTAAATGGCTGAGAAATTAAGCTGAATAGAATGAATATTCCTGTCTTGTGTGTCTTTTAGTAACTTAAGGTTTTGGGGAGGGATTCTCTGTGTTTTGAATCTAATTACCTTGTAAGGTATTTACCATCCTGATTTTACAGAGGTGATTCTTTTTTACTTTTTACTTCTATTAAAATCCTTCTTTTCAGAAACTGAATGCTTTTTCATTGTTCTTAAGATCCAAGGGTTTGGGTCTGTGGTCATCTATGCAAATTGGTGAGGATTTTTACCAAACTTTCTCCAGGAAGTGGGGTGCAAGGGTTGGGAGGATTTTGGGGGGAAAGACGTTTCCAAACAACACTTTCCTAATAAATAAACCCAGATAAATGTTTGGTGGTGGCAGTGGAAGTCCAAGGGCAAAGGGTAAAATAGTTTGTACCTTGGGGAAGTTTTAACCTAAGCTGGTAAAAGTAAGTTTAGGAGGTTTTCATGCAGGTCCCCACATCTGTACCCTAGAGTTCAGAGTGGGGAAGGAACCTTGACAAGAGGTGTTAAACCCCCACCACCACCACCAAAAGACAAAAGTTTTGTTGACGACAAGTGCTGGTGTGAACAGCGCTTTGTTGGCAGGAGTGCTCTGCTGTCGACAACGCTAACCCCACTCATTAGGGGGTGGAATTTTTTTGTCGGTAGGAGACCTCTCTCCTGCCAACAAACAGCGGCTTCATTGTGTGTCTTTTAGCGGCATGGCTGTAGCAGCACAGCTGTGTCGCTAAAAGGTGCGTAGTGCAGACATAGCCTTACTTACCCAGTGTTAGTTGGAACTTCTATCCATGTAATGTACTTATACCTCCCTCATTACTGTATTATCCAAGGACCTCACAATCTTTAATATATTCTCCCTCACAACACTCCTGTGGGGTAGGGAAGTATCCCCATTTTACAGATAGGAAACTGAAGCAAAGAGAGACTAAATGACTTACCCAAGATCACACAGGAAGCTTGTGGAAGGGCAGAAAATTGAACCTGTGTTTCGCAAGTCCCAGATGAACACCCTAATTATGGGATCAGTGATGGACCTTGAGAAAGCAGGTCAATTTTCTTCTGGATTTGGAGAGCTGGAGAAGATTTTAGGAATAGAACTTGCTACTGCCCACCAAAAAAGCTACAAATCCTGAGATGAATAAGGGTTAGGCAGGAGCAATGAATCGCTCTCTGGGCAATGCTGGAGACAGACGTTCTGGCAGGTGGTGGAAGAAGTATGGCTTAGACTTGGTCTACACTACAGAGCTAGGTCGACATAACGCAGCTCAAATGACTTACTCTGTTAACATAATGTTTTAGTGCAAAGTGAACAGAAAATAATTCAGACCAGTGATTACAGAGTAGTATTTGCATGGGTGTCATGCATTGTTTCCCTCTAGGCTAAATGCTTGCACAGCTGGACATCCTGCTAGCAGGCACTAGTGGGGGAAAGTTCCACTGTGCTCCTCCTTCCTCTCTCTAGCCCTGGCTGATAAATTTCTTCATTTCTGTCTCCCTCACTTCCTCCTCTCTTCTTTTTGCCTGTTCTTTCCTCTCTCTCCCTAAGCTCTTCTCTCTCTCACACACATACACACACACACATACACACACTGAAAGTGAGGGAGAAGGTACCTGGACTTGGAAGAAAAGTGAGAGAAAATGAAAGGGAGACAGTAAAATGAAAGGGAGACAGTGAGTGGTGGTGAAGAGACAATCAAGTATGGAACGAGTGAGGAAGGAAAATGATGCTATGTCTACAGTGGCTTGCGTGCTTGAACACTGGACCATGTACATGCTCATGCATGGTCCCCATACCTGCCCCAAGTGTCTGCATATGCTGTGCTGGACACAGGTATAATGACATATACACACTCATACACATGTCCATACTGTCGCTGTTGTTACGTAAGATTAGTGCTACCATTTCATGGGCTGTATACAGGATTCTGTGCATCACAGGGAGACATGCTAGGAACCGCTTTGCTGTGTGTTGTGGGTACTGTCCCCTGCCTTCACACATTTGCTGATGGCAGTTCCTAATCATATCGCCCCTCATTGTTATTCCCTGAAAAAGTAGGTGGAAGACATTTAGCAATGAGATAACTATCTGATTCTGTTCCTGTTTCTTACAGTGGGACAAACGGTTATGCAATAGAGTAGGCGACTGGTGAGATGTTGGATGGAATTTGGCCAGAACTTTCTGATACACTGAAGTCAGCTGACCGTGAGGGTCAATGACAATTCATTCAGCTCACATGGTACTGATATGGTGAATGCCAGTGTTGCCAAGGTATGTCCTTGGGTGGACCATCATTTCTGGTGCCAGAGAACCAGCATGTTGTGCTGGGATCACATCATTTTGGAAACCTGGAATGACCAGCAGTGGCTTCAGAACTTCCAAATGAAGAAACAGATCTTCATAGAGCCACGTGAGGAACTTGCATCAAACCTCTGGCACCAGAACACTCAATTCAGGGGAGCCACACTGGTTCAGAAGCAGGTTGCTATTGCTCTATGGAAGCTGGCACCACCAGGTCTGCTGCAAGTCACTTTGAGGTTGGAAAGTCCATTGTTGGGGTCACAGTTGTGCAGGTTTATGAGGCAGTTAACACTGCGATCTACTCAAGGTGGGTGCCATAAGAAAAGTTCCAGAAATAAGAGCTGGGTTTCAGAGGATGGGCCTTCTAAACTATGCAGGGGCCATCAATGGCACCCACATCCCAATACTTTGCCTACCAAAAGGGGCAAATGCTTATGTGAACCACGTGTTCTGCAAAGCTTAGTGGTCCACAGAAGCAGATTCATGACTACAAACGTGGGAAATACTAAAAAGGTTCATGACACCAGAGTGCTGAGGTGATCAGCATTGTACCTGAAGGGAGTAGGACTTTATTCACCAGAAACTATATGGTTCTTTACAGTGTGTCGATGCCAACTGTTATTTTGGGGGACCTTGCATATCCACTCCTATCTTGTCTCATGAAGCCATTCCCCAACACCAATGACACTGGAAAAGGGGAATTCAGTTACAAGCTCAGAAGCTGCAGAACGGTTATGGTATGTGTTTCCTGGGCTGGAAGCTCATTGGTGCTGCCTACCCACCTGTGTCAGAATGGCCATTCATATACTCATCGCCTGCTGCACACTCCATAACATTTGTGAGGGTAAAAGAGGAGTGTTTTCATTCCAAATGGGCTCACAAGTCTGATTTGCAAACTTTGTACAGAAAACCAGATCCCACCCATGTGCACATTGGTCCTGGTTCCCAACAAGCAAGGGAAATTATGAACACCATACATGCACACATCTTGGCACAGCAGGGAGGCAGAGTGTGACATCTACCTGTGCTGAGGGATACCTTCCCACCTTATACAGCTGCTGGGAATGCATATAAGGGAACATTGGTGCCTATTTGTGAGGTGACATAGCTTTGTGAGGGTTTCGTTTTCCTGTAGCGAAAGATCAGGAACTATTCATTCCTGTGACATTGCACACACTGAAGACAATTACAACCTGGTGAAGATGCCCTGTTAACACCTTAGGGTTGAGTCTATGCTGTGGAGGGTGGCAGCTGAGTTGTAATGTGGTCATTGTGCAATGATTTTGTCTTCACTATTCACACTTGTTTATAAACCTCTTATTGGGAGCACTCAATCTCTCTTACCAACCTTATGAAGATTTCCTGGGGCAGGGGTGAGTATTCAGCCATTCTGCATGGTATGCTGTCATTCAGTTTTTTGACTGTTCATTGTCAGCAGTGCTAACTGCATTTAGGGGCTGTTACAGAGCACTAATCCCTATTACCACTGAAGCTGGTTAAGCTTTCAGTGGGAAGTGGAGGGTATTTATGCACAGGGTAGTGGCAGATGGTGTCATTACCTGAGTTGCTACTGGTACTGTTTCAATTTTCTGCATGTGAAGTAATCCATATAGATGTTCATCTACCCATTTTCTGTGTTTCTGACTTCTGTTACATTGAAAACTAGTAGCACTTTCCGTAAGAACATAATACTAATTGCACTTTCCCATCCCTCCCATGTATCCTTGGGACTTAGTATATTTCTGAACCGCAGGAGGGAGGGTTTGGTGGAGGACAGACAGAAAAGTGTTTGCAGTATCATGGCATCAGATAGTTATATACCATTCAATTTCATGTGCTATGAATTGTGGGGCCCAATTCTGAATCTGAAAACATCTTCAGCTCACCAAGCTTAGGAAGGAGGGGACACACACAAGTCTGGGAAATGATAACATTTATTAAAAGTATTAGATAGAATGGGTAATTGAAATAATTTTTAAAAGGAAGGGTCAAAAACAAATCTTTAAAAAATAAAGGGAATGCAAGTGGGAACACTGGCCATATATTAATGTCTCTGTAGCTGTCTCCTTGCCCACCTCCTGACAAGAAGGAATGACGGGAAAGTGACTTTTGGGGAAAAATGGGAATGTCTCCTGCGAGGGACTTGGGGGATGGGCACTTGGTGGGTTTCTGGAACTCTTGCAGATTCATCATTCCCCTCCTGGTCACTCAGTAGGGTCCTCCTGTGAGGGGTTTTGGGTGCTAGTGGTGGGCAATGCCCCAGGAGTCCTGCAGGCTCTGGTGTCCTCCCAGTCTCTTAGGGGGGTCCTTGAAACAGGATCCTCTGGCTCAGTAGCATCCCGCGCAGCAGCTGGAGGAAGAAATGGATGTAGTGGTTCATGGACTGGTTCAGTTGATTCGGCAGCAGGTTGACCTCGAACTCATTCACAAGTTCAATGGGGGAATGTTCCCATTCTCTGTGCTGTGCCTCCTGCTCCATGAACCAGTACATCCGTGTCTCTTCCTGATGAAGTGCCCAATCCTTCCATGCCCAGAGGAATTTAAATGGTTCCTGGTTTCCCCTGCCCATGCCTATATGCAGCTCTTCCTAGGTCCTTCTCCGTCTGTCTCTGGGGCATTGCTCCAGCCCTTTTGTGGGATGGTTTCACTCTCAGGAACTGAAGGTCCTGACAATTGAAAGAGAAGGGTAGAATTACAATTTTTGTCCTTGGGAAAAAGCTCAGAAATCCCCCCCACATAACATAACTTTACTGTAGAAGGCCACAATTTTGATACTTTTCAGCATTCCATGAATGTGACTTTTAAACTATCCTTGGTTCTTAGGCAACTTTTGCAGCCCATGAGGAAGGAGCACAGGCTCCTAAGAGTAAATAAACTGTACTAATACTTTTAAAAATTTAAATGTTCATAGTGTCTCAAGGTAGTGGGCAGGGGGAAGAGAGAGTGGCAGTTCCTTCCAGGGTGCTAAGTTACCAGTTTGCAATTCCTTTTTTAAAGGCTGGCTAACATTTGGAGAACATAGCTGTTTCCAAGATACGAGAACGGAAAAGAGAAGTGGCTTTCTGTCCTGTGGAGGAGATCTGCAATCTATGCAAGAGAGTTTGTTTCTGCTAATGGTCACTCCTCTACATATTGCGAAATGAAGAGGGTTGGTCAGCTATAAAAGTGGACCAAGCAGAGCTGCACTGCTGTAAAACCTCAAGACCCAGCTAGAGTTTCTGCTACACTGGAAACTTGCTGAAATATGCTTGTGCAGCATAGCTCAGTGGGGGGAGAGGCAATACACCAGGGACAGGGACAGTAACAATTTTGTAATCTTCCAAGGGAGAAAGGACTGCTGTGACTAACATTTCCTCAGAGAACCAAAGTGTTCTACAACTGTGTTCTGCTCCCTCCCCATTCCCAGACCTAACATCCCCTCCACCTGCCCACCCCGTTCCACATAGCTACCATTTGTAAGGTGATAGTAAGATCAGAAGGTGGGAGAAGCACTAAAACTGTGTAATCTTTAAAAGACAAAAGATAGCTGTTACTAACTTTAGACAACCTACTATAAGCTTTCTGCAACTGTCCCATCCCCTGTTGGGATTTTTCTAACTTGACCCCTTCCTTCCCAGGGTCTGTGCAGCCCCAGAGCCTTTGCTGTCTGACCCCTGGCCAAGAAATGCACAAACACAGAGGCAATGATTTTTCCTGAATAATCTGTTTTTAAGAAACAGCTTTATCCAAATGCATAATACAGGTTCATCAGAAATCAATAAAATCATTGATTTATAACTATGTCTTGCTTGTGGACCATCTGGGGGGGCGGGGAGCAGGGGCTGGAGGGAGCAGGGGAGAGTTGGAGGAGTTTGGTAGGGAGAGGGGGCATGACAATTCCATAGCTTTCAGCACTGCAGTTCAAACTCACAGACACATAGCAATGCATGGCATATTATCCAGAGGGGAATAGTCAGTGCACAGTATTTCAAATGCCCTGGATCATAAAATCAGTAATTTAGCATAAGATGAAGAGGGGATATTGGCAGGGAAGGTCCATTGTAACTTACCAGCCTTAGGTTTTGGTTCCTGCCGTGACTCGGGATCCTCCTTGGATTCATCAGGGTAGGAGGCTTCCTCAACAGACTCCACTGGAGAGAGGTGCAGAATAACATGCTCTTCATCCTCCAGGTCTTCTGGGGCACCCTCCGTGGTCCGTGCTGCCTCCTCACTCTAGCCCTCATCAGCATCCTATTGGACAATGAGGCTGGTGGGGTTGAGGAAGGGATCATGAACCACTTCAGGCTCTGTACCAGGAGCCCTTGACAGCACCTGGTCAAGCTCTTCATAGAAGGGGCATGTAGAAGAAGCCACATCCCAGAGAGACTGTTTGAGTCTTTTGCTCTCCTGTATGGGAGCCTCATCTGGTTCATGTGTTTCCGCCCCTGGGCTGGAGACCGCTCAACGCCTGCCTTCTCCAGCCTCCATGAAATTTCCTGGTACAGGTATATGTTCCTGCCGCTCTGGCTGAAGTCACGGAAGACAGTGCACTCTGACCACACATTGATAAGCACCCAAGTGTGCTCAGTGGGCCAAGTGGCTGCTCTCAGAGCAGGATGCATTTTCACCTGTATTGATCTGTATGAGTTCAATGGAAAGCTGGTCACTGCAGCACGCTACTTCCACTGAAAACGATGGGACAGGAACCTTTATAGAGTGGGCAAGGGTCAGGAAGAAAAGGGTTCAGTGCATTGTCAGAATGGGAGTGGAGGACTATTGAAACTTGAGTCCTGGTACATGACCCTTATCCACACCCCTCAGGCATGCTAGCTTACTCACTCTCTACATTCCTTCAGACACATGCTTTGGGGTTCAGGTGTGGGTTATGACACAACCGCATTCATAGGCACGTGTACAGTCACTAATATAGAAATAGTCCTTAGTCAATGGAGAGGAAGGAAATAGAGATTATGAGTGACCAAAGAGGTAGCAAGAATGAGGGAAAGGGCAGAGTAAGTGGAGAAAATAATATAGCAGGAGAAACTGCACCCATAAGTTTTAAACTTGAGCTCTAGAAGCCATTTGTTATGCACATGGGGGGGAAAAAATTAGAAAAAAATATTGGTGTCAGTCCAGATCAAAACCCTGATCTACTTTCAGTCCATATTTTGTCTCCAACTGCAGTCTCATACTTCAAAAGGAAGTCCAAAAAACATATTCAGTTGTGCAATAATGTGTATTTTGATGTCTTCAGACAACCTGAAGCGTGAGACCTGTAGCATTATCAATTTAGATGATCTTTTCTGTGCTATTTTCGTAAACAGTTAGAAAAATGCAGCTAATTTCTGCTATCACACACTAAAGAACAAATCTGTAAAGTGTTGCTCATGATTTTATCAGAAGTCGGGCAGCAAGAATTCCAAATACCCTGAAATCTTAACATGTAACCCTAAATTCTAAATAATTAGCAGGACATGTAATGAAACGGAAATGCAACGTAACCTCCCTGACCCAATCACAGGAATTTTTATAGGTAAAATGTAGTTTGTGCCCAAATATAAAAATCATACCTCATAATGGCCCTCTTTAACTGCATCCTGTATTGGTGTTACTTGTTTACTTCCTTTACAGTTAACATCAGCTCCTGCTTTCAAAAGCTCATTTGCTGTCTTATAAAAACCTTCCACACTGGCTTCATGTAGTGGAGTCCAACCTACGACAAACGAAAATTGTCAACTAAATCTTACATTTCATATCTGAATAATATTCTTGACACCAATTTTTATCCATTTTGCAGACCATTTAATAAAGTTTTAATTTTAAGATAGTCTAAATTTATTAGAAATTTCAATATTTTAAGAATAAGTTGACCATGTGACAAATTTTTATATGGTTCAAATGTGATGTAGGTGAGAGGTCCTAACTGTCAAAATATGCACTTGCCTAAGAACTGCATGCCATTATAACAAATGTAGATGTTAGATTATGTATTGGCTCAAAAAGGAAAGAAACCTTAACCTTTGCATACCAGCAATTTCTCTGTGAATGAAACTTTTACACTTTGGGTATGTCTACTCAGCAGTTGGGATGTGTAATTCCCAGCGTGGGTAGACATACATGTGCTAGCTCTACTTGACCAAGCATGCTAAAAATAGCAGTGGAGCTACAGCAGCATGCGGGGCGGCTTGGGCTAGCTACCGGAGTACAACCTCATTGGAGATCCTAGACAAGCCACTGCTATTTTTAGCATGCTAGCTCAAGCACAGCTAGCATGTGTAAGTCTACACAAACAGGTAATTATACTTCCCAGCTGCTAGATAGATACACCCAACAACCTTTGTGTGTGGTCTTGTTATTTGGTCAGTCACACTGAAGATGATAATTAAGAGAGAAGTGAGAAAATAAAGAACCTGAGCTATGAATAATACAACATATGTTCCTGTCTCAGGAACAGACACGAGCAATTAATAATGGTGGGGATCATGTTGATGTCCATTTCAGTATCTCCAAGCATCATTAAATGTATAAACTCGTAGACTTTAAGGCCAGAAGGGACCATTGTGATCACCTAGTCTCACCTCCTGCTTTAAGAACATCTAAGAATGTGAACATTAGAACATCTAAGAATCTAAGAAATAATGTGATGAAAAATGTTTACTCATTTTCCATTTCCCTTTCTGATCACATAGAACAAATCCAACTTTTACCTTTGCAGACAGAAGAACTGTAGCAATCAGAGGTTGAGTAGCAGGTGGAGCAGAGATGCTCTGCATGGGGAGGGAGGGAAATCTGGGGCTGAGGGGGGCAGGTTGGGTTCTCTGCATTGGGAACATGGGGAGCTACTGAGACATAGCGGGAAGTAGCTGTTCCTATTTGCTTCCCAGCCCAATCCCATGAGCCACAGCAGCTGCTCCAGCCCCACCAGTTCCACTTCACCTCCACCCTCCTATGCATGCACACAGCTTACAAGGAATGACATGTTGGGGTAGAAACATATATCAGCCTCTACAATATTTCCATTTACTCCTGGGGCATTCTGCACCAAAAAATTTAAATTTCTATGCCAAAAAATTAAAAATTCTGCACACAATATTTTAAAATACTACAAATTTTATTTGTCAAATAAATGAGGCGGCTTCAGCATGGCATTGCGGGAAACAGGCCACTGGCAGCACTGAGCTGGGAGATCACTCTGCAGCTCCCCCCGGGACCCAGACTCAACAGTGAGGCTGCACCCAAACCTTCCCCAGTGCAAGAACTGGGCCTGCCCCAGAAACACCCCAGGGCCCTGACCCTTTGTGCCAGGTGCACCAGGTGTGGGCATGCAGACTCAGTCTGGCAGGATCCAAGTGCAGAGGGACTTAGTGTGGGGGAATCCAGGTGTGGGTTGAGAGGGTTCTGTGTGGGGCAATCTGGGGTAGGCAGCTCAGTGGGGGATCCATGTGTGCATGTGCAATCTGGATGCACAGGGGTTTGTTGGGGGGTTCTGGGTGCAACAGTAAGGGGGCTCTGCAGGGGGGTCCAGATGAAGGTGGTTGGAGCTCATCAGTGGGGGCCTGGGTGGGGGGGCAGAGCTGGGCAGGGGGGTCTGGGTATGGGGGGTTCAGTGTGGGGTTCCAGATGCTATGGGAATGGGGCTAATGAGGTTGGGGACCCAGGTGCTCCTGGTTGGGGCTCGGTGGAGATCCGGGTGACTCTTCAGGGTGGTCCAAGTGCAGGGGGAGTGGAGCTTGGCAGGAGGGGTTCTGGGTGTGTGTGGGGAGGTGAGGCTCAGCGGGAGGGCCTGGGCATGAGGGGGTCTGGATGTATGGGCACTGGGCAGATGAGGGAGCAGCTCCCTGTACAGTGATCCCTCCCTCTGCAGCTGAGGAGTGATGGGTGTGTGTGGGGGGGAGAATTTGCAGAGCTTCCTGGAGCCTGGGGAGAAATCTAGGGCTGGGGCTGACCCGGCTCTGGATGCTGTGCAGGGGAAGAGGAAGTCCCATCCTCCCCAGCCCAGCCAGACTAGCGGCTGAGCCCGGCACAGGGTAGGAGCCACCAGCCAGGTCTTCCCCAGTCCTGCCCCCTGCCTCACAGTGATTTATCTCTCTGCCAGCTGCCCTCGGCACCCAAAACATACTGCTGGGGAGGGTCACATGACCACTCTTGTGGCTTCCCTTTGCTTCCCCATCAGAAAGTCATTTTTCTGCAGGGAAGCAAAGAAATCTGTAGGGGGACATGAATTCTGCACATGAGAGGTGGCACAGAATTCCCCCAGGAGTATTCCATTGCAGGGGCACTAGCCTCCACTCCCTCTCACGTCGGTTCTGCCACCCAGGTAGCAATTCCACTCAATGGAGGAAAGAGGATTTGGGAAAGATGAAGGCAGTATGTAAGCCCTGAGCTGCACTGACCTAGGTTTGCATGAGTTCCCTGTATGGCAGTGTTCTTACTGAATCGGCAGAGTGAACTGGGGGAGAAGATAGAAGATCCACGCCCAGAGTGCTTTCTAATCCTCCTTCCACCACTTCCTGCATCAAAACACACTAAGGTTCCATTGACCACAGTAGCTTTTTCCTTCAACCATCTCCCCACAGGTGGAGATACCCCAGTACATATCTAGAATGCTGGTTGGGCTCTAAATTTGACACAATCCTTTTCTCATTTAACTCAAGGGCAAAACTCTCATTAACTTCATAAGAAACAAGACTGATTCCATCAAGCCAAATTCTGGGCTGTTTTACAGATTATGCATGCCAGAAGGGTGTAAAATCAGTGCATTAACATGGAGTTTTGGAGGTAATGTCTATATTACATATATGGCTCTTCACATTTATTACCTGTCTCGTGAGAACTTATAAGAACTTAAACTAATAAGAATTCAAAAAGTGGTGGATCAACTCTAAAACATCTTTCTGTTTGTGATCCGGTAGCATGAGCATTTATTACTTATGCTTACATATTTGTTTTGTAATTCATAAAATTATCTTTTAATTGGAATTGAAACTTACCAGCATAATCCTGAGTATTTACATTTGCACCAACTTTTATAATTTTGCGTACAAGGTCTGTATCATCTTCAGCAACAGCTTTATGCAGTAAGGTCTCACCAAAAAGATTTTTCCTACAGATTTTTGAAAGAGGAATGGAGGCAACAGGTGCAGTATTTGAAAAATTTTTAACAGAGGTTTGTTTTGCTGAAAAACATAACATAAAGATCTGGTAAACTGAAAAAATATGTTTGATTACTGTTTTGGCCTCAGCACTACAGTTAGCATACAAGTTTTCTGAAGAAAAATCTTGTCAACAGGAATTTTTGCCCAACTACTAACCTGTCAAATACAGACATTTCAGAAAGTTGCTCCTTCAGTAAAATACGTAAACATCAATCTCACTTACTAAAGATTGTATTTAACCCCATAAACTCTGCACCAATCTCCTGATATCAAATGGGTTCAATGCACAGAATGAAAGAATATGGCTTTTAAACAGTGGTTTTTTTAAACTCTTGGCTCTCTACATTTTAGGCAAAGTGTACTAATCATTTTCAACAAGTTTGATCAAATCTGCTATCCTGTGCTACATTTCCTTAAAAGAAAAGCAGTCAATATATAGCTAGTTGTTTAGTCACTCCTCTCGTCCTTACCAAACCTATGGCATCTATTAGCAATTATTTTATGTTTTGTGTTTTATGTATGTTTCTAAGTTTACAAAACAAAATATAGAAACAAACATTATTATTATACTTTGGAACAAATCCTGCTTTCCATTATGCACCCATAATGTAGGATTCAAATGTAGTGGAACCATTTCTATTGTACTGGGGCACAAGACTACACTTTACCAGCAGTGGGGAATTCTGCCTTCTCCCTTCATGCTGTGGAGAGGTGTTCCAGGGCTACTGTCTATGCTGGAAGGCAAAAGGATGGGGATGGATTATGGCCAGGCAGGAGGCATGGCAAGGGCACGAGCATGGTCCATTCATTGTGCAGATCCAATAGCTTAACATTTTGCTCATGTGGGAGTAGAGAGCTACCCCTCTCCATAGTCTGTGGTTGTAGGCTGCACAAGAAGCCTGGCTGGTTGTGACTAAAGATTCCAATCTTCAGCCTTTTGATATTTTTGAAATGGAGGAAAGTCCATGTACATCAGTGGTCTCCAACCTTTTTATGCACAAAATCACTTTTTGAACTTAAGTGCAACCCAGGATCTACCCCATCCCTTCTGAGGCCCCACCCCTTCCCCAAAGCTCCACCTCGCTCACTCCGCGCACACACACCCTGTCGCTCGCTCTCCCCCACCCTCACTCACTTTCACCGGGCTGGGGCAGGGGGTTGAGGTTCGGAACGGGGTGCAGGCTCTGGGCTGGGGCCAACGGGTTCGGAGTGTGGTATGGGGCTCCAGGCTGAGCCTGGGGCAGGGAGTTGCGGTGCAGGAGGGGATATGGGGTGCTGGCTCTGCGAGGAGGCTCAGGGCTGGGGTGCAGGCTCCCACTGGGCAGCACTTACCTCGGGCGGCTCCCGGTCAGCGGTGGTGCAGCACGGCTAAGGCAGGCTCGCTGCCTGCCCTGGCCCCACACTGCTCCCGGAAGGGGCCAGTGCACCCCTGCGGCGGGCACGTGGCTCCGTGTGGTGCCCCTCTCTGAAGGCACCGCTCCCGCAGATCCCATTGGCCACAGTTCCCCGTTCCCAGCCAATGGGAGCTGTGGGGGCGGTGCTTGCAGGCAGGAGCAGTGCGTGGAGACCCCTACTCCCGCTCCCCCAGGGCCATGGGGGCATGCTGGCTGCTTCCAGAAGTGGCGTGAGGCTGGGACAGGCAGGGAGCCTGCCTTAGCAGCAGCCCCACTGCAGCTAGAGATCATGATCGACTGGTAGAGTCTCCAGGATCAACCAGTCGATCGCGATTGGCCAGTTGGTGAACACTGATGTACATTAATTTTGCTCTACGCAATAGGATTTGCCCATATAACTACAGCCAATCATGATGAAAACAGAAAAATACATTTTATTTTGAGCATTTTGTTTTAAAAATAATATTTTGCTCTTGAATGAAAACCTGTTGCTGACTTTATTTTAATAAATATGAGTCATCTGATTAGAAAACCCATTGTAAGCATGGTTATAGTGGAAATACTGACAACCCTTCCTGAAAGCAAGGTGCTGGGTAGTGGTAGATTTATAATTAACAACTTATATTATACCTACTATTATAGTTCATATAACATATACCTTCAAAAAGTTTTAAAATATATTTAGGTACACAGTTAAAGCCAAACTGGACTTGCATAAATGGAAATAATTATAACACTCCAATCTTAAAAGTAATTATGGTTCAATGGTTAGGGGATGAAGGAGTCAGGAGGCCCAGGTTCAATTGTGTGCTCTGCCACAGTCTTCCTGTGTCACCCTCAGCAAGTCTCTTTACATCTCAGTTCCTCACATGTAAAATGGGAATAATAGGACTTCTTTACTTTACAGGAGAAATATATCACAGAATGTGAGGTGCACAGATGTAATTGTGATGGAGGTCATAAAAATACATCAAATCAATTGAAACCTGCAATCTACTCCATGGGGGTGAATTCCTGTGCACGCTGAGTCACACTGACTTTAGAGAGACTCTGCACAAGCAGTTTGCCTTTGCAAGTCAAACTGTAGGACCTACATTTGTACTCTGGATCTATTTTTTGTTTTGGTGTTTCTGAATACTTAGTCATTTCAATTATAATGTTACAAAATTAGATTTTCACCCCTGAATGTTTTTCTTAAATTTTATGAAGGATGTGTGTAAGCAGGTCAATTATTAGAGTCTGTACTGTAAACAGTGAAATAAAAACTGGTACAAAGTATCATGGATTATTATTAAAACTAATGTATATAAAGCTTTTTAAAAAGGTAGCTCATAAATCCACATTTCAGTGACTTTGAAAACACCATCCAACATTTTCTGGTTCAGTACATTTGTTTGAATCAGTTCAACAGAAGAGTAACTTATCTGGCAAATAAATGTCAGAAGCATCTCTTACTAATTTTCTTTGCAAGCCTTTGGCTTTTCCTCATCTGCTCAACCTTGCTGTTTACATTCATAGTTGATGCTTGGTATGTACTGGCTTCCGGCTCTGAACACTGTTCTTTGCTGTCCTTACAAGCAGAGTCTTGTGTTCTACTGATAAGAGATTTATTCAGAATGAATAATAATATTCTCCACTTTATAAAACAACAATGTAGTATTTATACTAGATTTAAAAGTAAACATCTAATTTGTAAAGGAGGTTTATAATTATGTGCAGATGCATACTCCATGTAATCACACAAACTTCAATGGGATTGTAAGGAGTATAAATCAGTGCAGAATATTACCTTGAGTGTTTCAAAGAAAATGTAAAATCTTTACCTTTTAGGCAACTTAAATGAACATTTACACAGTAGAAACGAGGAATGAAAGGCATGTATGTTTCATATTTATTAAATAAATTGGAAGAGAGATAGAGAAAGAGTTCATGCATAAAGAGAAGTAAGCTTTTTATGTTATATATGTCATACCCAAAATCTTTAGATGAAAGTTTATTTCCTGTTTCTTCATCATTACTATATATTCTCTGCTGAGTTTCTTCTAGCATTTTATAACAACTGGAAACTTCATGTATGTGCTTTCTAGTGCAGTTTTCTCTTATTCGAGTTGACTTCCTTAATGTATATGAAGTTGCTTTGGTAGCTTCTACATCCGAGATATTCTCTATTGAACTTGAATTTCCTTCACCAGCTTGTTTGTCATAAGAGGCGACATTGCAGTAATCAGAAATTATCAAGTCTTGGTTCTTCTGGTTACCTACAAGCTGTGACAAAAAGTATTATTTCAAACTACTGGTAGTCAAGCTTTAAAAAGAAATGCTGTGCCTGGATTATTGTGTTTGGTGTTAAAAGTAAAATGTCATTTAAGTTATACATGCACAGATAGATAGATAGAGACTTAGAATAAATAGGTTACTTAATAACTGGAGTTCTGCAAATATATTCCCTACACAGTTGTGTGCCATGCTATGCAGGCCCTGGAACTACTAAGAACACCCAGCAAGGGAAGTGGATGGCTCAGGAAACAGGGATGTAATGGGACAAAGATGTAAAGTCAGTGGATGATATGGCTTTTTTAGCTGATGCCTTCAAACAGAATCAGGCATCTATTGAGGACAGGCCACAGAAAGAGGGATTTGAAACTGGTAGGAAGGGAGCCCCCTGGGAAGAGAGAAGCGGGTTGGGAGCCTAAACATTCTCTTACCCAAAAACATTCCTCTAACTTCATCCCAAATCTCCTGTAAAAGCAGAAGAGCCCAAAAGGTGCTATCAGTGTAATTCCACTGATCACCTGAGGAATAAATGCCCTGTGCTAGGAGGAAGTGGGCAACAAATAGCTTGTTAGTTCTGCTGTCCTCAACACAGAAACCCCCCAAGCAATTGAAACCTATCATATTGGTTTTGTGAGGTTAGCCTCTGCAGAACCAGATTTGGAGTATGTTAAGGCTGTCCAAATTGATGATAGGGAGTACTTGGGGCAGAGAGATACAGGGGCCCAGATCTCTCTGTTTAAGCAGAGTGTGGTCCCAAAGGCTAGTATGTTGCCTGGCGAAAGCACATTCCTCAGACCACTAGCTAAAATCCATGTGGTGTGGGGAAGTTTGGAAAGTGTTCTGACTCTGGGGGTAAGAAAACACCTCCTAGTCGACCTGTTTCTTGGTAATGATTTTTTCCGTGAAGCTCAGGTTAAAGTATTTGCCTGCAGCAGGAGGGAGTTTTAAGCTGGGACCCCCGAGGGAAAGGGTAAGGTCTCAGGAACTGCTGAGAGAATGGGAGAGAGTCTCCTTGATTCTTCTGCAGCAGGGAGAAACCACATGCTTCCAGGTGGGAGGGTGGTTGAGACCAACTCCTGCACTGCAGCTGGAGGCAACACCACATTAGGAAGGGATGGGGTGGGTGTAACACCCGCCAGGGAGAGAATTGCCCAGGTTGTTAGCTGCCAGCAGGTCGCAGCTGAACCAGAGGCAAAACCGGCTCTAGGGAACATAGAGCAATGTGTCCCAAAGGAGAGCCCAGAGAAGAGCAGGGGATCTCAGAAACCACTGAGGTGGGTGAGGATTCCTGAGACTCTGTACCGCAGGGAAGTAGGGTGCTTCCAAGTATGGGAGGGGCTGAGACTAGCTCCTTTCCAGCAGGAGGAAACATGCCCTCAGGCGCAGGGGCAGGAGAAGTGTTGTCAGTGATTAAGGAAACTGTCCCAGTTGTTAGCTGGCAGAGTTCTGCAGATGAACAAGAGACAGAACCCTTCCTAGGGAGCACAGAGAAATGTGTCTTAGGAGGGGCCTCAGAGGAGGAAACTGGGGAAGGAATAGTGGGGGCACAGGAATGTCTCCTCACTAGAAGGGGGTGTCTTCCCGCACAACAGAGAAAGCAATTATGGGAGAGCTGCTGGGAAAAGGTGCATCTGATTGAAGGGTTAACACACCTAGCCCAGAGAGCACAGATCACAGCCCTCTAGGGGGCAGCGAAGGACTCAGTGCTGGGAGGGGGAACACACAGGGTAACCCCAAAAGGGGAGCTGGATTTTCTGCATATGTACAGTCCTGGGTTAGGAGACCGCTCCCCAAAGGGCCAGCCAATGTGCAGGATCCCCCTGAACACCTATCTTGCCAGACCCTGTGTTGGATCATATTAAAGAAGTTCTGTATTAAAATCACAAATGAGTTTGATTCCCCATAGTTTAAATTCCAGGGTATTACTAATTAAGAGGTCTCTTGGTTTTTGGTACTGTTTATCTCCCTCTATGGGTGAAACTTGCAAGCTGCTAATTGTGTTAGTACATTCTAAGATAGAGTCTGTTCTCAAAGCAATTCACACAGAGAGAGACTCAAAGCAATACTCTAACAACAGAAACAGCACCCAGAGACTCCCCGCCCTTTTGTTGTATTAACAATTGTGATTAAAATAGAGATAGAGGATGTATGTGGATGGATGCTTGGTGTGGATAATAACTGAATGATCAGGGAGGTGCCAGCCTAAGAATCCAGTGTCCATCGGCTGAAGAAGGCGTCAAGTGGAAATAACCAGAGGACCTCCCCCCCCCCCCCAGAGGGCAGACTGGAATCCACCCAACAGCCTCAAGAATGGGAGAACCAAAGAACAAGATAACATCTTGGAGCCGTCAGGAATGTGCTATCTGCTGATTGATTCAGCAACAGCATGATGAAGCAATTCCCATAGACTGGCATAGGAAGAAATTCCTATAAAAATAGACTCTAAAAAGTGAGAACTTTGGGGTCTGATTCTGCAAACCAACTTCCAGGAGCATCAGATGAGCATCTGACAAGGCTCTGCTCCCTCCTCATGTCCAGGCCACCTGGCCAGTGGCTTGGCATGAGCAACTCTAAGGCTGGTAACTATGATAACAACCTTGCAGAACCTGTGTGTGTGTGTGTGTGTGTTTGTATGAATGAATGTGTGAATAAATATGAGATTGAATGGAATGTTATAACTATAACTAACTGCTTACTATGATTCTTTCTGTATTCACAATAAATGTGGTATTTTGCCTTTTTCCCTTTAATAAGATCCTGCTGGTTTTTATTTTATTGGTATAACACCTGAGGCACCAAAATTCCAGAAACCTGATTAAATTAAGAGCCCATACAGGGGGAACAATGGAGGGAGGGAAAAGTCAGTGGCTGATTACATGGGAGAGGGTCAAAGGACACCCTGGGTAATAAACAAACTAACCTCATACTACACTATCTGAACAGAGGGTGTGGTATCATAAAGATACTTGTAAACACACAACATTAATACCAAAATTTTTATCACAGATAAGTTTTGGGGATAAGAATTTTGACATGGATGTTAAACCTTATGATAATGCTACTTTTCAATTAATACCTGTAAACAGGTTTAAAGATTAATACAGCAGAGAAACCATAAAAAACCTGGTTTGCTGTGTGTGAATGGGGAAACTGAGGCACACTGCCTCAATGGCTGGATGCCAAGAGAACTGTAACACAAACTGCTTTCAAGCTAGTCAGTGACTAACCCTCCTTCAGTAAGCAAAGAGGGGAGGTGTGACACTCTGTACCTTGGGGGAACACCCTACACCCCCATGTTCATCTTTATAAAATGATTGTGTGCAACTGCAAATGCACTGTGTGCCAATGCAAAGTTTGTAATGTTGGGTGTCTTCGGAAGGCTCATGATGCACTGAGCATGGTTGTTATAGTGATGTTATAGTAATTGTTACAGTAATGTTATAGGTTATAATTTCATGTATATAGTTATGAGGCTGAAAATGTATCCTCATGGCTTAAAGAAAGCCCAGGCAAAAACTCTCCAAGAACAGAGAGGCAGTTCACATCTCATCAGGGCATGTATGGGACAAACCCAGCTCAGCCTCACAAGAACCAAGGATGAAGGCCTAGGCAACAACAAAAGGATCTTTTAGACTCTGAGTGAGTCACCCCCCTTCCTGAAGTGGGCAGGGGCGGGGCAAAGCCAAAAGGGAAGAAAGAACATGATAAAAGGGAGAGACGTTTGCCATGCTCTCTCTCTCTCTACCACCTCCATCTACAGACACCACACCAAGCGACTGAAGCACTGATCAAAGGGGAGAGCCTGGCTGAAGAGCTACCAGCCAGCTTGTGATGAGAAGCATCTAAGTTTGTAAGGGCATTGAAAGTGTTAAGATCAGCTTAGAATGCGTTTTGCTTTTATTTCATTTGACCAAATCTGATTTGTTATGCTTTGACTTAGAATCACGTAAAATCTATCTTTATAGTTAATAAATTTGTTTATTCTATTTGAAGCAGTGCATTTGGTTTGAAGTGTGTCAGAGGCTCCCCTTGGGATAACAAGCCTGGTACATATCAATTTCTTTGCAAAACTGATGAACTCATATAAGCTTGCAGCGTCCAGAGGGTATAACTGGGCACTGCAAAACGGAGGTTCCTAGGGTTGTGTCCGGGACTAGAGATATTAGCTAGTGTCATTCAGTTGCAAAATCCAAGGAGCAGCTTACATGCCAGAGGCTGTGCGTGAACAGCCCAGGAATGGGGGTCTCACAGCAGAGCAGGGTAAGGCTGGCTCCCAGAGTCAAAGATTGGAGTGACCTAGCAGATCACCGGTCCAGATAACACCAAGGGGAATGTCATACTCCCTTGCTGCAATTTAAGCCCATTGTTTCTTGTCCTATCCTCAGAGGTTAAGAACAACAATTCTTCTCCCTCCTCCTTGTGACAACCTTTTATGTACTTGAAAACGGTTATCATGTACCCTCTCAGTCTTCTCTTTTCCAGACTAAACAACCCCAATTTTTTCAATCTTCCCTCATAGGTCATGTTTTTTAGACCTTTAATCATTTTTGTTGCTCTTCTCTGGACTTTCTCCAATTTGTCCACATCTTTCCTGAAATGTGGCGCCCAGAACTGGACACAATACTCCAGCTGAGGCCTAATCAGCACAGAGTAGATCAGAAGAATTACTTCTCTTGACTTGCTTACAACACTTCTGGTAATACATCCCAGAATGATGCTCGCTTTTTTTTGCAACAGTGTTACACTATTGACTCATATTTAGCTTGTGGTCCACTATGACCCCCAGATCCCTTTCTGCAGACTCCTTCCTAGGCAGTCATTTCCCATTTTGAATATGTGTACAACTGATTGTTCCTTCTTAAATGGAGTACTTTTTCCCTCAGTAAATTCTTCCCACATACACCACACAAACTCTCACATATAATTATACATACAAAATAATCCTTTCAGCTAATCAAGCTAGTTATTATACAGGCTGAGAAGAGATTATTTCTATTTTTAAATATCTGTGAGATGCTTAGATACTATAATGATGGGGAACGCAAAAGCAGATATTGCATAGCATAGAATAGTATGAAGCAAGAAGATGAAGTTTACTAGGATTTCTCCATTCTAAAAACTTCAATAACTGATGTGAAAAAGTAGAAAAGGATTAGTAGACTTTAAATAAAGAAAAAGACTGTAATAAAAATGTAAATTCCAGACTCAATAATTCTATACCAACACTAATAACATCTTAGAAAAAATTAACTCTTCAGTAAAATATTGTAAGATACACAAAACATTTAAAATAGCTATTAAAACATGTACATACTTGTTCATCTAAAGTACCCTGAAATGCAGCCTCTGTTAATGCTTTTATTTCTTCCAATTGCTTCACAGAAAATTGAGGTTCAAAATTGTTAATTGTTATTTGAGTGCAGTCATCTATCTGGAAAATACTGGGTTCTGATCTCAAATGTTCTTCTTTAGCATTAACCTCTCTTTCCTTCCCTACTAATTGACGGAGAGGCTGTACTACAGATTCTGAAAAGGAGTTCAGTGCTGTCAGAAGCTCTAGTGGCAGGACATTGCTGTTCTCATCTACTGATATATCTACAGATAGAGCATCCCCTTGACACTGTAATGTGTCTTGCAAGGGGTTTATCATTTCTGGACTCTCTGAATCACTGAGTGGTTTCAGCAAATCTCTAATTTCAAATTCATCAGCCATTATACTTTGTTCAGTTAATGTTTCCCTGGAAATCTTCTCTGATGTTGATGATAAAATAAAGTCAGGTGTAAACTTCTCAAGAGAATTATCTTTTACTCTAGTATCTAACTCAGTAATGGTCATAGTGGCACTCTGACAATCTTTTAAAACACCTGGAAATACATTCTCTGATGTCCATTCCTTTGGAGCCATTAATGTTTCTTTTACAACTGCACTTGACAGTAGGCTTCTTTCGGGAGAGTCGTCTTTATCAGTTAATCGATGTGAAATCTAAATGAAAAAATGTTCACAAAAATGGAGAAATGTTTCTAAAAGCATGTAATGAACATTTACTTTACAGTTCATTAATGCTCATAATATTAGGTTTACAATTTTTTGATAAAGCAAGCTACAAGCCCCTAAGAATTTCCACAATGGAAAAATTCCCATTGACCTTAATAGGGGACAGACTGTACCCTTACTCATAAAGGCAGACTGAATTAAGTTGTTGACACCCTTATTACTGAAGATCCAGGATAAGATGCAGAATAAATCTACCACTATTTTGAGATCAAAGGTCTGATCCTGCTCTCAGGGTACTTGTGTCCCATGTTAATGCTCAGGATGATTTCTCTTCCTTTTTAGTACGACATGAAGTCATTATGTAGTCAAAGGAAATAGTAGAAGTGCAGACTACTGCAGATACAGTCTGACATATATGTTTTGTTTTAAATCACATGCAACTACTGACAGGGTGCAGAAAGTTTGTCCCACATCCAACACTGAATATTATGCAAAAAGTAGGGTAAATATAGTTATTTAGACTCATAGACTTTAAGGCAATAAGGCACCATCATGATCATCTAGTCTGACCTGCACATTGCAGGCCGTAGAACCTCACCCACCCACTCCTGTAATAGACCAATAACCTCTGGCTGAGTTACTGAAGTCCTCAAATCATGATTTAAAGATTTCAAGTTACACAGAATCCACCATTTACCCTAGTTTCACCTTCAATTGACCCACGCCCCATGCTACAGAGGAAGGCAAAACAAACAAACAAACAAACAAAAAACCCAAAACCCAGGATCTCTGCCAATCTGACCTGGGGGAAAATTCCTTCCCGACCCCAAATATGGCAGTCATTTGAACCCAGAGCATTTTGGCAAGACTCACCAGCCAGACACGTGGGAAAAAATTCTCTGTAGTAACTCAGAGCCCTCCCCATACAGTGTCCCATCACTGCCTGTTGAGAATATTTGCTACTAGCAGTCACAGATTGGCTACATGCTATTGTAGGCAGTTTCACCAGTTTTATAGTAATTTTTGTCATGACACCAATAGACATGCCTGTGACAGACTGATAATATCCTGTAATATCCTGAACCTTGTGGAGTTAAGATAAACTTTATTGAATTAAGCTAATCCTTACTGAATTAGGTATAATACCTTTGGTTTCCACTGTATTACAAATGCAATTGTATATGTGTTATTGTGGAATTGTATGTTTCTTCTCTAGTAGGAAGGGGATGCTAATGTACTTCTTCCATTATTGTCCTCTGACCCCACCCCTCTTGGAGAGGTATGCATATACTAGTTCAAACTGGATTCTCCAGGAACCAACAGACAAAGAAAGGATTTTAGATAAATAGCCTGGTTTTAAACTGGCTCAGGGCCTTCTTTCTGATCCAGCAAATGGGCAAGATCTCTAGTCCACAGAGGGCCCCAATCCTTGCAGAAGGGTTAGAAGGACTGGGCCTACTGAGGCCCATAAGACTGTGTGCTTGTCCTGAGCTGAAGCTGCGATGTGAACTTGTAACCACAAAAGAAACTTCTTGGGTGGGTTTGGAAGGACTGCTTCAGAACCCATGTTGGGGTAGGGGTAATCTCTGGTAAACTTATAAGCATTTGTGTAGGTTCTTTTATTGTTTTTAGTATGGTTTTTCCATAGTGCTTGTACCTTAAGAATAAAATAGGCTTACACAGAAAGAATTGTTTATAAGAAATGTATAACTTGACAATAACTCTTATCGGTCTCTGAACAGAAAACAAGCAGGTGTGTTTGTGCAGCCTACCAGTGCCTCTGCAGCGAACGACACAGTGAAGGCAGGAAACTGCACAGCCTGGAAATACCACCCCCAGAAGGGAGAGAGACACGGGACTTCACCTAAGAAAGGCAGTGACTGGGGAGCTAGAAACCTGAGAGCAGGTGCCCTCATTGGACCACTGAGGGGAAATACAGGTGCAGTTGTCCTGAACTGACATAGTGCCTGTTCTTCATTCAGTGAAAATACAGAATTTTTTCTCCTTCCTATGAAGGATTGTCTGAAATTTCTGAGCCAGGTACCTCAGTTAGTAGCTCAGAGGACTGACGTGTTTACAGTTTTTACCAACATCGTATTTTTCGCGGCTCATACTGTTGCCACAACATTGTATTTTAGGGTAAATTTCCTTCAAGAGACATTTTAAAATCTTTTGTTGCCAACACATGGCAAAACTGTAGAGTGCAACAGCATTTTAATATCAGCAATATAAATCTGATCAACCACACTGACAATTACAACTGTAATAAAACAACAAGACGACAAGATCACTGAGGAGAAGAACCTTCTTCATACTGATTTATGGATTTTTAGAACAAACTTGGAACATGCAGTCCTTTAGAGAAACTAAATTTTAAGCATTATGATATAATCCAGTCACCAAGGATGCAAATTAAAAGATCTATTGGCAAGTTAGGAGGGAGAAGGAGAAACAAATTTGTTAAGTAACGGGAAAATTACTACCATCATATGATAAATATGATTTCCAAAAGAGACTAAGAATATAGTTAAAATGTTATAATTATACAACAGTTTAAGGGACTGAGAAAAGGAGGGATACTGAAATGATAATCTGATCCAGTTTAAAGAGATGTATTTTATAATTAAATGGAGAATTCAGTTTACTGCAGAAAAGGGCTTGATCCTGCACCCATACAGTGTATGCGCAGGAGGGTTAACTGAAGAAGAATTACAGTTTATGAAAGACCAACAATGGCCAACTTTTGTGAGATTAGAATAAAGATTATTGCAAGATACTAGGGCATAAGGAAAATCAGAAGACAGAGGAATGGTAGAATAAAAAGGAATACTACTTTGTCAAAATCAATAAAACCCAAATATGACTCATTTTAGGATATCAAACTTCTATTAAATTACAAAATCTTGACAGACAATTTGTCTTGAAGTTTTTTCACAGTTCTAGCTGCAAAACTGGCAAGCTTGAGACAGTCACAGTGTCTATGCTGGGAAGACTGTAATAGCTATCAGTTTCTCTTGCTACAGTTCTTTCTGGAGCATTTTGGTCTGTTCATCATATAGTGCTAGAGATCAGAGAATATGAAAAAATGAAATTTACTGTAGTAACTGAGTCTCAGGTACAAGAAAAAGCAAACTCAAAAGAGCCTTTTACTCCTACTAGTTTATCAAATATCATCTCTGGGAATTCTCCCTAGACACTGGAATTCCTAGTTCTCCTAGTATCTTTAGGTTTTACAACCTCCTTTGAGATTATTAATCATTGGTATTCTGTTTCAGGAACTTTCATATTGGATTTTATTCCATTGAACCAACTCTGTAATATAGGGAAGTTTTACTTGATGAAATTTGTTAGTATCAATATTAATATGTACTGTAAAGAAAATAATCTCCTGGCTTTGTTTATGATATGATTACTTACTCATACAGTTTAATCTGTTACAAGATATATGTTTTATTATATTGTCTTTAGTATTTTCTTTTGGGAATTTTAGAAGATTCTGTTATTTTCCAGATGTTAATCTCACTCAGAATCTACGAAGAAAGTAAATTCTATTTATATGAAACTTTAACAGCTTTCTTTTGGATGCAAATTTTGCTTCACCCACCTTATATAATTTAAACAAGGTGGCAACCCTTGTATGAAAAAATGTGTCTCTATTTCTCCCTAATAAACAGAATAACTTGTGGCTTAAAAAAAAAATCAATGGTAAATGATTTATCTGTGTATGTGGCACAGACTTGGTCTTCTGTTACTTAACACTAGAGTATAACTCTAGTATGGAAAATGGCTTGCACAAATTACAGGTTGGTATCTGAAGTACACATATGCTAGTGAACTGATCATAAGCAAGGATTCACACAGCATGCATGATAACACAGGAATCTTTGGATTCAACACCACAGACAAAAGAGATACAAAATGCATCTCCCTGAACCAGCAGGGGCCAAGGTTCTAGAGCAGGGGTCTCAAACACGCGGCCCGTGGGGCTATTTCCTGTGGCCCACCAGCTCCCTGCTGTCCCCTCTCCCCCTCCCCCCAACGTTTACCTAGAGTGGCTCCTGCCCAGTGTGCACGCCGGTGGCAGCAGGGCAGGCTCCCTGCCCTGCCCCTACGGTTCCCCGTTCCCAGACAATGGGAGCTGCTGGGGACGGTGCCTGGAGGCAACAGCAACACACAGGTCCCTGTGCCCCCCCCAGGTTCCGGCCACTTCCCGGAGCAGCGCATGGGCAGGCAGGGAGCCTGACCTGCCCCGGTGTGCACCGGACCAGAGCCCATCCCCTAACCCATCCCGCAGCCAAACCCCCTGCCCTGAGCCCCCTGCCGCACCCTGCACCCTGACCCCCCTGCCGCACCCTGCACCCCTCCTGCACCCTGACACCTGCCCTGAGCCCTCTGCCACACCCTGCACCCCGACCCCCTGCCCTGAACCCTCTGCCACATCCCTCACCCCGACCCCCTGCCCTGAACCCTCTGCCACATCCCTCACCCCTCCTGCGGCCCAACCCTCTGCACCCTGACCCCCACCGCATCTCTCACCCTTCCTGCACCCCACACCCCAATTCCCTGCCCTGAACCCTCTGCCGCACCCCGCACCCCTCCTGCGGCCCAACCCCCTGCACCCTGACCCCCACCGCACCTCTCACCCCTCCTGCACCCCACACCCCAATTCCCTGCCCTGAGCCCCCAGCCGCACCCTGACCCATGCCCTGAGCCCCCTGCCGCACCCCTCACCCTCCTGCACCCCAACTCCCTGCCCTGAGCCCCCGCCACACCCCGCACCCCTCCTGCAGGTGGTGGAGGAGGGGGTGGAGTTAGGGTGGGGATTTCAGGGAAGGGGTTAGAATGGGGGCAGGGGATGGGTGGCAAGAGGTGGGGCAGGGCCTCATGAAAGGGCTGGAGTGGGGGCGGGGCCAAGGGCGGCGGCGGGGAGGTATCAGTAATGCGGCCCTCAGGCCAATGTACTAGTCCTCATGTGGCCCTCGTGGGTCATTTGAAGGTTTGAGACCTCTGTTCTAGAGAATAATTCACTCCTCAAGCAAAATAGGCCATTTTATCACCAGCAGCCTCCAACACTGGTTTGTCAATCAGGAGAAGCTCTAAATTTAGCACTTCTAACTTTTTGGATTACTACACACCTGTGGAAGGGAAAATTGCAACCACTTTAAGTAACTACAAGTCTGCCAGCAGGGCAGGTTTCCTAGGGCGTCAGCATCTAGGTGAACAGTGATTCTGGCCCATGAAAGGAAGCCACATTGTTTACAAGTTCATGTCTATTTCAGCTTCAGACACACCACTCTTGCAGTAAGATATTGTCCCTCCCCAAACTGCTTTCAAACTATATTATGCATCTGTGTTAAGAACATGTGCTTCACAGTGGGTTTGGACAAAGACTGGTATTTTTGCTTTAAATATTCTAAACATATGGAGCCTCATTTTTCCCCCCAGAAAATATTGTGTAACTGCTAATTAAATCAAATCAAATGGTTGACATGCATTCTGTTGTAAGAATATACTCACCTTTCTCTCTGTTTTCAGAAATCCAGGCATGTCATCATCTAAACCTATAATGGTGGTGAATAAAATAATATTTTTCAAATTTACTGTCACTGAATTGCACTTGTTGAGCTTCTCAGCCTTTTCTGATTAAGGGGTCCCCTGGATGTTATAAGATGTTGAAGTTTCAAATTCCCTTCACACTTTTTTCTTGAGGTGGTCCCTGGCTGAAGCTAACTGAGTTTGGTGAAGGAAGCTCTATTTAACAACATTTTCTAACTTAATTACGTTTTTTTTATTACTTTTACCTCCTGTTTTCTTATATCTGTGACCCATAGTTCTGTGCCTTTAAAGGTTACCTATCAACTACCACCATCTGTTTCAGGGAATGCAGCATACTTCTCACACCCTCCACACTCAGTCAGCTCTGTTGCCCACTTCCTAGCGCTCAAGACACCCCTAAAAGGGGAGGAAGGAGCACAGGGGCCCACAGGGACTGTGATTTTCACACTCTCCCTTCCCCTTGCACATCCCTGGAACATCCAGGCAGTCTCACCCACAACTTTATTAAGCAGTGCTACCACAGTAAACTCAGCTTCAATCTAGAACTATATCAATATCTTAGGAAAACCATGAATAGCAATTATTTTATAAGAAACTTGCAAAAGTTATACAGTCCCAACATCACATGAAAAATAATGTAACCTGTACTCCAGGACATCTTTGAAAAAGGAAGCAAGGGCCAGATTTTTAAAGGTATCTAGGCACAGGGGCACCATTTGGAGGGTGCAGGGGGGGCTCTACGCCCCCACCCCGAGTTTCGTACTGCAGGTCTACTCACCCTAGCCCCAGACGGATCTTTTAACTGCAACATAGCTCAGCCTGAGTGAAATATATGATGAGTTCGGAAGCTGGGAACAGTACAGCATTTGGGGCAGGGAGTTTGTTTATAAACAGAGGCAGGATGATTAATATAACAAAAAGCTGGTCATTAAAGTAAATTAAGGATCGTTAGATGATCCTGAAAAAATTTCCAGGCACTCCTGTTAAAAGATAGGAAACAAAGGGTAGGAATAAATGGTTAGAAGGGAGAGAGGTAAATAGTGGTGTCCCACAGGGATTTGTACTGGGACAAGTCCTATTCAACATATTCATAAATTATCTGGAAAAAGGGGTACGCGTAGGAGCCGGAGCAGGGACATGTCGCTGCTTCTGGGAGCTGATTGAGGTAAGTGCTGTCCAGAGCCAGCACCCCGAACCCCTCCTGCACCCCAACCCTCTGCCCTAGCCCTGATCCTCCTCCTGCCCTCTGAGCCCCTCGATCCCAGCCCAGAGCACCCTCCTGCACCCCCAACCCCTCATGTCCAGCCCCACCCCAGAGCTCGCACCCCCAGCTGGAGCCCTCACCCCCCTGCACCCCAACCCCTTGCCCCACATCCGGAGCCCCTTCCCACACCCTGAATTCCTAATTTTTGGCCCAATCCCAGAGCCCTCTCCTGCACCCCAAACCCCAGTTTCATGAGCATTCATGGCCCGCCATACAATTTCCATACCCAGATGTGGCCCTTGGGCCAAAAAGTTTGCCCACCCCTGCACTAGACCCCACTCTCCTCCCAGAGCTGAGATAGAACCCAGGAATCCTGAGAGGGTCTCTCTCCCCACAGAGTTAGTAACAATGTAAGAATATACGTTAAAATTTTAAACCTAACCAGTGTCCCTTAAGTGCCTTGCCACAAGACATCAGAACATGTGAGTATTAGAGCTGAGTGGGTCTAATATTTATTTCATTTTCTTTCTTTTATATAGGAATTAGATACAGGGCTCCTGTCTGCTAATTGCTAAAGTTATCTGCCAAAATACTAGAGCTTTCAAGTGCCTAAGTAGCCCCTGGAATAACAGTTAAAGTTGGACCCCCCTCACCAAAATCTGAAATGAGGTCCCTGCTTGGGCACTGTCCCACTCAGTGCCACATGTTTCACCACCTAGCGGAATTTTGAAAGCCAGGATAGGTGCCAGTTAAGCACTTTTCTCCCTATTCGCTTAGATGGGGACCATCTAAGCAGCTACATATGGGACTTTAAAAAGCTGAAATGAGCGCTGCCCTGCTTAACTGGATATCTTCTTACTCAAGCTAGGCAAGCTTGGAACTTTGCAAAGCGATGAGAGGCTGACCGGCCCTTACACACGTTTGACTGCTCCACAGTTCACAGGCCATTTCCACTATCTACTACAGCGCTGGAAAAGAGAAAATACATTTTATTCCCCTTCCCCTAGAGACTCCCTGAGCACTCCTAGGAGCCCTAGCCACTTGATCAGACACACTCCACTTCCCTGCTGCCAGCCAGAACCAAACCACAGGACAGAAAAAATGGTGAGCTGAGCTTCCGACCATGCTGTCATGTCAGCATTCTGGAGGGTGGGGGAGGAGCAAATGGAGAGAAAGGGAGGGAGGCACGCCATGCCAAGCAGCACACACTAATCCAATTCCCGTTGTCCATAGCCTCAGAGGGTTCCCAGCAACTCCTGGAGGAAGTCAATTTCAACAATATCCCTGAGCACATAAAAGATAGCTTTCACCATCCAGCTGGGTTGAAGGAACCCTGAATTTATGCTCTGGATATACTCAAGTGCTTAGTGGATCCCCAACTGCTATAGGAATGCAAGGGGACAATCTCCTACAAGGGTGGAAGGAACAGGAGAGAGTCCTGCCTCTTCGTTTAGTCCTGGCCTTAGAGAATATGCTAACAGGAAAAATACATGAAAATCCCTCAAATACACAGGAAGAAAGTAAGAACCACCATGACTAAACTCCTAAAGTGACCCAGGGGGGTCCTGGTGCCGTTATGCCAACCCTGCTACTGATCTGAACAAAACCTTCCCAACCCTCCTTTCCTATCTTCCCCACCAGGACACTCATGGACAGACATGCATTCCTCACTCACCCCTGCTCCAGACCACAGTTACTGGGTTACAAAGCTACAACCATTTGCTGTGGGGGAATGGCAGCACTTAGGACACTAAGGCTTAGCTATTTCAGTGCCAATGGGCAGGAAAACAGTCACCCAGGGGGGTTAGGCAACTGCTGAGCAGTGGATTTAAAAATACCATGGGCATGTAAGTGGTGGATTTAGGCACTTAGTTCTTCTTTAGGCACCTAAGTACCTTTAAAAATCTGCCCCTCTGGTCTCAAAGGTCACATATCTATATCCTAAATAAATCTATATCATAGAATCACAGAATATCAGGGTTGGAAGGGACCTCAGGAGATCATCTAGTCCAACCCCCTGCTCAAAGCAGGACCAATCCCCATTTTTTGCCCCAGATCAACTAAACGGCCCCCTCAAGGATTGAACTGACAACCCTGGGTTTAGCAGGCCAATGCTCAAACCACTATACTCATTTACAGTTTCTCAGTTGTTTCTTCCAAATTTAGAGTGACTGTATTTTAGGTTGTTTTTTACAACATAAAACATACCTACAGTGTAATTTTGCTCTCTACCTACTGAGGCATTTAGCGGAAGACCAGGCTGAGAAATCTTTGTAGTAAATACTGCACCCCTAAAAAGAAATAAATATAATTTTAAAAGTTCACCATTCAAGGAGCAATGCACAAAAATACTTTGCCTGTTCTCATGGGCTAAGCCTTCCCTGGCGCAGCTGCCACTGACCTGCTGCCGGACACCTGGGCCGCAGTGGCCCTGCCTCTTCCCCGAGGCCCCAACCATCTGTTGCTGCCTGCCTGCTGCGGCTTGCCGCGTCTCACCTCCTTAGGGGTGGGGGAGTGAGGAGGAAACACAATGAGCCAGTGGTGGGTGAGAGGGTCTGGCGGGGGAGTAGTGAGGCTGCTCGCTTGGCCGTGCGCTGGGGCTTGCCGGCCATGGGGGGGGAAATGCTGGCAGGGGCCGGTGGCTCAGGCCGGTGCTCAGGGTGGCTGGTGGCTTGTCCCGGTGCTCGGCCTGGCAGCTCGGGGTGGTGGCTCAGCCTGGTGTGGCTGGGACTGGACTGGCAGGGGGCAGGAAGGGGGCAGCAGCCTGACGTGGCTGGGGTGGGCAGGCTGTGGGGCTCTTCTTGTTATGGGGGAGTTTGGGGCTCCAGCGTGCGGGGGGTTGCTGCCTCAGGCAGAAGGGTCACGGCCAGCAGGCTAGCCTCCCCAAAGCGGAGGTTCACCTGCCACTCATGCCTGTTCTGGTACTTTGGACAAAATTTTCAGCCTTGTCTTAACCAGGCCTCTGGTTGTAGTTAAGACAATTAATGTAATTTTTCTGTGCAATTATTTGTGGAAGCACTTTAGGTCTTTTAGAGGCATAAATTCCCAACTCACAAGTGTAATCAGTAACACACTTCTCAATTATCTAAATTGGGCTGGCTATTATATTCAAATTGCCACAACAGCCACACTCTGGCTTGCAGCAGCCTCGGCTACTATCTGCAGGGTGGCCGCGACATACTCCCCACCTTGAATTTTCCCAAAAGACATATATTCTGTACTGTCCAGCCCTTACCTGGACAGTTCAGATATTAGAGGCCCGTTGCCCCAGTTTGCTACTTTAATTGGAGTTACCAACCTATTCAGTGCAAACACAACCCTGGATTAGTTTTGATTAAAAAATAACACAAGTTTGTTTAACTATAAGGAGAGATTTTAAGTGAGTACAAGTACAAGGTATTAAAGTCAGAAATGGTTACAAGAGAAATAAAGATAGAATGCTTTCTAGTAGCTAAAACTTTACAAACTAGACTTGGGTCAAGATAAAATCCTGACCACATGTCCCCTGCAACCAGGCTGACCAAATTCTCAGGTCATAACCCCTGCCAAAGTCCAAAGGCTTGTTCCTGTGTTCTTAGGTGAGAGAGAGAAAGAATCTGGGGTGCTGTTGTCCCTCACTTTTATAGTCCAGGCACCCTTTGAAATGCATTTTCCTGAGGGCTACCCCTAGATAAAATTCCTTCCCGCTGTGAGGACGGAGACATGGAATTTCATGATGAAAGAGGTTCCACGCTGTTACTTGCTAAAATGCAGATCGATCTGTTCCTGCTCCCCACTCATTGCCAAAGAATGGCCATTTGACAGGTGATTGCCAATCAGCTTTCAGGACACCTGACTAGCAGCATTAGCTTGTCCTTTGTCTTTGAGGAGTAGGTTTACCCCCCTTCCCAGACTTGGCTGGTAAACACATTTAGATCATAATTTCAGCTTATGTTCATAACTTTACATATAATGTTGCTACACACATTTCACCATGATATCAGTGACTATTGAGTTATTAGTTTTCAAACAATACCTCACAAGGCATATTTTATACAAAGATTACTACAGTGGTGTGTAGGGCAGAGGTCCCCAAACTGTGGAGTGTGCCCCCCCCAGGGTAGCACAGAGGAACATTCAGGGCCAGGCAGCGGGCCAGGCCAGCCCCCACGGGGGGGGAAGGAAAGGAGCACCACCCAGCCCCTAGTCGTGGCCCTGGGTCCCAGCCCCGGGTCTGACTCCCGTCCTCAGCCTCAGTGCGGTTCTGCGCCTGGCTGGAAGCCTGGCTGCGGCTCTGCTCCCGGCCCCACCCCCAGCCTCAGCTGCAGCCTCATCCCCCATACCCCTGTCTGCGTCCCCCACTGCAGAGCTGTGGCCCTGGGGGGGCCTGAGGGGGTAGATGGGTGTGGTCGGGGGAAGGGGGGTGCAACCTTCAAAAGTTTGGGGACCACTGCTGTAGGGTGTGAATACAGGGGTGCATTCAGTCACAATCTGCAATACCAATGTGACCAAATCGTTGAGTCCTCTTCATCAAGCAGGCAGGCGGTAGCCCAACCAGACGCAGGATTTTTGTGACCGGGAGCTTCACCAGTGGAGAACTTCCAGAGCTGGGTAAACATATGATCATCTTAGGCTATGCTGACCTTCTAGTTACTTTAAGCCTGATTGTTTCATGAGGTATTCTGTGTAGGTGCCCATACTGGTTTTGCCACATCACCGAAAACAAGTAAAGTTCCAAGAGAAATTTGTTTTTCTGTGACGTGGTAGCCACCAATATGGATTACTAAATTCTGACCTGCAGACCGCACCCACGGAAGAGAAGAGTAACTACAGAGATGTTAAAATAGGCATGTCTAAAATGACAGTAGGGAAGAAACTGGGAGAGCAAGGGAGGAAGGTGTGTCAGAGCCTGCTGGAGAGTGGAAGAGAACTTCCAGAGAACTTGCTGACCAAATTCAGCATCAGCTGAATTCATCCACCGAGGTCACACCACGTTCAGCAAAGGGCATGACTGATGCCAACAACAGGGCCACCACTCAAATACAGTGAGCTCAAAGCCTGTCTAAGCAGAGGAGATCTGCAAGGAAGGAGGAGTGCAGACAGAAGGTCTGAACCTGCAGGAAAGGACATACAGTATCTACGCCCTTTAGTGAGGTTCTTTGAACAGGATGAACAGGGACTTGGATTTGAGACCTATTCAGTTCAGGAAAATAAGACTAAGTTTGGCAGACATTCAGGGAGTGCTACCAGACCTCAAGTCTGACTTTTGGGTGTGGGTAGAAGTTGGGGAGAGGGATCTCCTAGCTAAGGTTGGACCATCTGCAGGAGAAAACTGGAGCATGTTTGGAGAACTACTTTCACTTTTTGCAAAATGAGGCATGGGTGCCACAAGTCACATCTGGGTGCTCCCTGAATCACCAGGCTGTGGAGACCAACACTAAAAAGGCCACTTTCTATGCCAGGAGACAAAGTTGAATGTTGAGGATGGGTTCAAATGTTTCAGAACAGAAGTCATTTAGCACCAGGTTTGGGCTCCAAAGAGAACAAACTTAACAGGAGGCCTAAGGTAAGAAACTACTCTAAGGAACTTGGTTGGGAGCTCATTAAAAATCTTCCATAGAACTCCTAAAGGCGCTGCTAAAGGATGAGGCCCAAATCATAAAAGGTGAGGGCCCTTTCTCAAGCCCATCCAGATGAACTCTGCTAAACTGGCACTAGCAGATTTTCTGGTTTAGGTCCCAGGGAAGAGGAAAAGATATACACGACTCTGTAGTAAGAGGGGGAAACATCCTTCAGGGCATAAGCCTGCAGGAATCAAGAACGAGCTTTTTCTGCCATGTATATACCACTGACAACTGGATAGGTGCATTACTGAGTTTGTGAAGCATCAGGTATTGGCTACTGCTGGAGACAGGATACTCGATTAAAGGGACAAATGACCTGATATAGTATGGGAAATATAAAAAGATGTACTTGCAGTTGTTTATAAAGCAGGTTAAAAAACCCCAACCATTATCTCATGATACTTACATATTGATTTCCATAATCATAAATTCATAGTATTGAAACATATATTAGATCAATGATACTCAAACTGAGGCTTGCAAGCAGCTCTTTAACATGTCTCCTGCGGCTCTATGCAGCACATGATATTAAAACAGTGTGATTTACTTATTAACCAATCTAAGTTATTGACCAACCAGGATGTTTTTTCTATGTTATTAACCAATTGTGGTTGATAAAATAATAGTTGGTCAGTCATTTTGCTGTGAGAATTATACAACTAAATATTTCCCGTACATCTATCTATATGTATATAAATATAGTACACCTCTACCCCGATATAACGCGGGTTCACATACAACGCGGTAAAGCTCCGACACGCTGCTCTGAGCAGTGTGTTAAGGGGGCCAGGCCGGACCAGGGCCGAGGGGTTGGATAAGGGGCAGAGGGTCTTGGGGGCGGTCAGGAGCTCCCCCCACCCAGGGTTTAGGAGGCAGGAGCTGTGGGGGGGGCACTTTTGGGGACCCTGCAGTCCCAGAGTGGCATGGGAGGTTAGCGGGGGGCCAGGAGCACCCGCTCCGCTTCCCTCGCCCCAGCCCCAGCCGTGTCACTTGCGGGAGTGGGCTTGGGGGAAAGGATCGCCCCCGCATTCACCAGCAGCGGCGAAACGGAGCAGCCCAGTCCCAGCTCCCTCCACTCCGCCAGCTCCCAGCCATGGCGCTCCACTTTCCACCGCAGGTGAGTGCGGGATCTTTCCCCTATCTCCCCCTCCCCGCAGCGACACGGACAAGGAAAGCGGAGCGGGCTGGGGCCACGTCGCTCTGCTTCCCGCCACAGGTGAGTATGGGGGCGTCCTTTCTCCAATCTCCCTGCACTCACTGGCAGTAGGAAGCAGAGCGCCGCGGCTGGGATGTGGCGGAGTGGAGCGGGCTGGGGCCATGTTGCTCCGCTTCCCACCGCAGGTGAATATGGGGGTGTCCTTTCCCCAACCTCCCTGCACTCACCGGCGGTGGGAAGCGGAGCAGCCTGGCCCCAGCCCACTCTACTTTGCCAGCTTCCAGCTGCAGCACTCCGCTTCCTGCCGCAGGTGAGTACGGGGGGATTCCTTTCCCCAACCTTCCTGCACTCACCGGTGGCGGGAAGCGGAGCGCCGCGGCTGGGAGGTGACGGAGTGGAGCGGGCTGGGGCTGCGTTGCTCCGCTTCCCGCCGCTGCCAGTGAGTGCCTGTCAGGGGGCGAGAGGTGTGGATAGGGGTCGGAGCAGTCAGGGGACAGGGAGCAGGGGGGGTTGGTTAGGGGGTGGGGTCCTG